TGAATTGCATGGATAGGATGCTTCTCCTCATTTTAGTGTCATCTGGTGATACCGAGTAGTTGAGCTGAAATTATGCAGATAAGAGAGATGTCCCCGGAGGGTATGTATTGAGTCTGTTGAAGTTCATTGTCTACTCTGGTCTGCAGTCCGATCTACAATTTTGACTATATCCAGGTTACACAGTACACAAGACAAGATGTATACTGGACAGAAGATGATGGCACCTAGTATGGCTTCTACACTACGGGATGATACCACATCGATAATCACTAATGCTTCACAGTCAGCATCCCCAGTCAAGTCCCACTGGAGATCTTGCTCCTCCTCTTCGGCCTCTGCAGACTAGTCGAGCAATACATGCTCCTCTTCTCCGCCCCTGAGCTGATCCACCGACTATCCTCCAAGCAGCTGATGACTCGGGAAGCCAACGGGGACACCCTCCTGCACATCCTGGCCAAAGACCAGGGTCCATCGCGACAACTCGCGCGGGCTCTCTTTAGCAAGAAAGACCTGGACGTCAACGTGCAGAACAACAACTGGAAGATCCCCTTAGTATGCGCAGCCCAATACGGCAACCACTGGCTTGTCAAGCTGCTGCTCGAGCGGGGCGATTTCAACAGCTACATGCTGGACTACTTCTACTTTACGCCGCTGGTGTGGGCAGCCAAGAAGCAGGACGAGGGGTTAGTGAAGATCTTGCTGGCGAACAGGAATGTTCGGCCGAATGAGGTAGACATTTTCCGGCGAACAGCACTGTCGTATGCAGCAGAGTATCGGAATGAGGCGATTGTGCGGTTGCTGCTCGCAGATGAGGATGTTGATGCGGAGTGGAGTGATGAGACGGCGCGATCACCGCTGTCTTATGCGGCAGAGGCTGGGAGTAAGAGGATTGTGGAGTTGCTGTTGGATCGCGAGGAGGTGAATGCACATTCGGTGGATTCGTTTATGAAGACACCGTTTGTGTGGGCGGCGGAGTATGGACATTTGGAAATAATGATGAGGTTGGAGGAGTGTGAGTATTGATGAAACTATTTCTTTTCAATCCTATTCTCACATATAGTACTAGTACTTTGTAAGTAGTTGATGATGCTATGACTGAATGATATGCAAGCCCACCACCAATAACCTCTCTGGAAGTATTTAGTCATCCATAATAGAAGGTCACTGAGGGGCAGTAGTGATCGCGTGCACATTTAGTATCTAATCTACTAATCAAGAAACTATATCAGCATCAGAACCCCAAGGACACTCCTATGAACGGAAAAAGTTGTTATCACCGAACTCTACCAAATTTTCGCGGGACCCAAACACACCCCTCTCAACCCCACCATATCTTATCTTCCACTCCCTAGTAACCTAACTACCGACTACTAACAATAGTAAATCTATTCATCTGCATATATCTCCTCTTGAAACTACTCATATACCCACCCATCTATCCATGGCACCTACAAAGATAATGACCTGGGACCCAACCCAATTCTTCCGAACGGAAGAAGGCCTTCCCTCGAGTCCCTACGCCCTGCTCATCCTCAACCATCCAATCAACGAGAGAGCTTATGATGTTTTACAACAGCATGGTATATACCACACTCTATACACAGATGCTATACCGGAAGATAAATACTGAAAAGAAGATAGCACTAACAACCGTCTGCGCCGACGGTGGCGCCAACCACTTCTACGAGATGATGAAAGCGCGGGGGAGAGAGGATGTAGATGTATGTATACCCTCTTCAGTATGCACATACCCTGGGCTATAACTACTACCCCTGTATCTGTATATGAATATGCTATGCATTCATATGGAGTTTCTTTTGCACATCTATGTAATATATTGTATTATACAATACTACCCTACCCTCCTCACACCACCACCACCACCAAATCCTAAGAAACGATACTAATTCACTTAAAGCACCCCACCACCATAATCGGCGACCTGGACTCCATCCACCCAACAATAAAGTCCCACTACGAGTCGCACGGGGTAAACGTGATCTACCACCACGACGACTACAGTACCGATTTCACCAAAGCATTGCGGTATATACGCGCCAATACTGCCGAAATCTTATCATCATCCTCATCCACTACCCACCATAAATACAAAGAAAGTGATAGCTTGTCAATACTAATCCTCGGCGGTCTCGGCGGCCGCGTCGATCAGGCTTTCTCGCAGATACATCATTTGTATTCTAACTCTACTATTCCTTCCTCTCCTTCCGGAGGAAATAGGAATGGGAATGGGAATGAGGGCGCATTATATCTCGTCTCGGAAGAAAGTATCACGTTCATTTTACATCCCGGGAAGAATGTGATTCGCACTCCTGGGGTGAAGAGGGCTGATCTTTCTATCTCTACTACCTCCGGGGGAGGGAAGGAAGAAGAGTATCTACTGGAAGAGAACGTCGGCATTATCCCACTCTCTGGACCGGAGCGAATCACAACGAAAGGATTCCAGTGGGATGTGGAATCCTGGGAAACGGAGATCGGGGGCCAGATTAGTACGAGTAATCATATTCGGGCGGAGGAGGTGGAGGTTAGTGCTGGGGGAGCGGTGTTGTTTACGGTGGAGTTGGCGGGGAGGTTTAAACGTTCATCATCATCTCTTTAGATTATATTATATGGTTTGTTTGCTGGGTTGGTGGATGGTGGTATAGATGTTGGTATTCATTCATCCTAACATTTAGACTTAAACATATCAAGCAATACTACAGCGCCCATCGCCCTCAAGAAGCATAGCAGTAACAGCAGTCCAGTCCGCTGATACGCCCTGACCCGAAACAACCAAGGAGAACTTGGATAGAAGAAACCAAAACGAAGCCAAAAGTCAAAATTAATCAGTCAACACCCCAATCACACCTCTAACCCTCATCATCTGTACTCTGTCCACTCACCACTGCCGCTGACGCTGCCAACTATACATCACTTCCTCAGAATCGCCTCATACAAAGTCCCAATCACTCCAATAGCACTGCCCGCCAACGCCCCATTCAATCCCCAAGGAACAGACCCCTCCAACCGATCAATAGTCAAACCCTGATAAGCACCCCAGAAGGTGAACTGCTCCGTGTAGACCAAATACGTGATAACCGCCTTAGCAATATAAAAGCTCAACGGATCGAAGCTCGCATGCACACCAGCGCGACCGCGACGAGCCTGCGACCCAGCCTGCGCAGCCTGCAAGCTCAGATTGAAAAAGTACGCGACAGTAAAGGGCAGCGCCGCACTGATCAGCGCCCACAGCGAGACAACAGCCCAGAAATGCCCCTCGACCAGAATGAAAATGTCCGGAATGGCGATCTTCAAGTCCGAGAGATGCGTCCACGGGGGCATGGGAACAGTGCCCACGTAATTCCAAGGCACAACAGCCCGCAACACGTTAAGGGCTTCGACCGATAATATCAACGTGCCAAAGGCCTTGACGCTGCTAAGGTTGGAGCGGAGCGACTCGGTGCGTTCGTGCACACCCGTTTCCGACCACAGTTCGCTAACGGACTTGCCCCACGCGGCTGTCTGGCGATCAATCACGTCGGTAACCACGGCCGGCGAGGGCGGTAGCTCCGACACCAGCGATGACATCGTTGGCAGCTGCACGCCCACCACCTGTCCGGGGGTTTGGGGCTCGGATTCTTCACTGTGGGAAGTTAGCGAAATTAAGGCAAGAAACAGTCGCGACAGTGAGAGGTTATCGTGCGCGGGGTATCATACGTAGGCTCGCGCTCCACCTTGGCCTTCACCTGCCTGCGGCGCACAGATCGAGGAGCTTCATCCGGCGTTGGAGAGGCTTCAACCTTGGGGGCTCTCTTGGTGGGGGAATACACGCGCGGGGATTGCGACAGTCGCCGGTAATAATCGGCCAGACGCGCATCGGTTTTGAAGATGGACTCATTGGCTTGGAGATGGCTGTCCAGGGCAGCAGCGAGGTCTGGTTTGGTGAGGTCCTCATAGCTATTGCTTTGTTAGAAGAGAGAGGGGAGAGGGTGTGCGCGCGCGGCACGGCGCAACGCCAGTCATTATGGACATGGGGAGCTGCTTACTCCTGGAGGTCAGTGAGTTCAGCCCATTCTGCAAGTTGGGGCTTGCGCAGTTTCTGCAAATAAGGCAATCCGGTAGGCATGACGATTCGCGCGGGTACGGGATCCACGTTAGACCATGCGACCAGTGGCACAAGTGCAAGGGATAAAGATAGGTGGGTGGGTAGATAGTATAAGGGTATATAGATAGGGAAAGATAGGGAGGGAGGGAGAAGGAAGTAAGTAGTAGTAGTGAGTGGTGGGAAAGGTAAACAAGGTAAGGTAGTAAACAAGAGACAGGCGAACAGGGGAGGAGTAGTAGTACCAGCGAGTAGTAACCAGAGCCAGACTAAGAGAGGGAGTGAATCAGTCGCAGTTCAGCGAGCATCTCGTGAGGTCACAGCGGCGGAGGAGCCAATCCAGTCCGGCTGCTGCTCTGACCGCATCCGGCTTTTGTTTACTTTTGCTCTCCGCGCCCCTCGGCAACTGGCGGGTTTCTCTTTGTCGATCGCTTTGTTATTGTTGTTGCTGCTAGTTACAATCTCTGGCTCTACTCAAACTCTCTTCTCTCTCTTGAAGAATAATATACAATGCTTCATTACTAGCCCTTGTCTAATGTCTATCAATGTAAAAGTATCCGTACATGAGATGATGTCTTTCCTCCTATACACAAAATGCGCGCCCTGAACCACAACCACCCGATCATGCAATCATGCAAGCTCTCAACATGCGGGGAAAACGACGGGAGGGGAATGGGAATCCAATAATTAGAAGACAAGAAGCCGAAAAGAAAGAAAAGAGGAATAACAAAGTAAAAATCATACCACTCCCGTCCGGTCGCCCTTCCAATATAGCCGTCTATAATGCTCATGCTCACGCTCATGCTTCGGTTGTGGTGCGCTCTTTTTTATCTACAGCGGACACCCCACCGTGTGTCCCAGACACCCGCCGATAGTGCTCTATCGGATCGCAGATGTCAAATCTTCAATGCAAGTCAGGAGCTTACCCTCACAAAGGGCTCAAGTCTTCCACCCCCTGGTAAGCTTCCAGTTTCTTCAAAAGGTACTGGTACATGACCAGCATTGTTCCACTTTGAATACTGGTCCACACTCCGCGGGGTCCGACTCCACGGAACCACCCCGCAATGCCCTCAGTCTGGTAGATCATCTTCAAGCCAGTGAAGAAAGACGAGGTATCCAGACGGGGAGCTCCGGGCGGCGCGACCGAGGTCGATGCTCCAGACGTCGAGATGGGTCGCGAGTGGGTGCGCAGGTTGGACGTCGTATGCGATGACGTATGCTGGCGCGGGCTCTCCTTCGTCGACGCAGGTTCACCCGCCGACTTGGTCGAGCTCAAGCTTTCCGGGTTCTGCTGCGTCTGGATTCGCGTCTTGACAACGTCCATCGGGCAAGTCATCACACCTGCCATTCCACCAGCCGTAACCGCAGTCATAATTTCCAAAGGCAGTCCAATGTCTCGCGAGCCCACCCATTCCTTCGCCAACCGTTGTTCTTGCTCGTAGAATGCGAACTGCAGGGCCGAGAAGGGAAGGTCACGATAGATGGTCGCCCGGTATCCGTAGAAGAGGGCAGAGAACCCCTCCTGGCGAACAATCGTGCGTAGAGCATCCGTGGTCGAGCGGTAGTTGTATCCTGAGTTGAAATGCGGGTTGTTGTAGCGTCCCTGCAGCTGCAGCCGCGTCTTCAATACCTCGGAGGGAACGTAGACGATGGAGGCAGCCAAATCGGCGAAGAAACCTAGCGGCAACCGAATTAGTATCGCCCACACATGGCGAAGCCACAAACATCCTTACCTCCAGACAGGTACGCAATATTGGGGTTGATCCCAGAGTCTATCATCTTCCGCTTGGTGAACTCATAGACACCGAAGAAGATGACCGTTCCGGGGAAAGACCCAAACAGCGCCGGCGTCACACCACCGTACAGACCACGGAAGAGTCCCTCTTGTCGATAGATGGTCGCATACGAAGAGGTCATAGAGGTATATTTCGGAGGGAAGTGGGGATCGCCTTGCTGTCGAGTCTTCACCGTATCTAACGAATGCATGAGCATGTCACCGCAGGTACCACCGGTACCTCCAGCCAGCATAGCCTGTTCAAGAAACAATGGTCAGATTACAGCTGAGGTTTACATCCAATCAAGACAAAGCTTGTCAAACAGTCGCACTCCATGAGACCAACAAACATACATGTAGATAGGGAGGCCGAGGCTCCTCCTCGTCCGCAAGGGACGTAGCCTTCTGAGCATTATGGTCGCTAGATGCGCTTATCGGACCGGCGGAATGAAAGACATGGTCACTGCTAGCAGGAGCAACGTTGGGAAACTGAGAGGCCGACGCAGGAGAAGGGGGATCGGTAGACGGTGTCTCTGTCGTCGTGAACAGGCCCAAGACGCGCGAGGTCAAGCTCATTGCAAGGATACCGCAACCCACCGGATCGTGGTGCGGACCAGACCACGGGGGTTGGGATGCGGCGAGCGACTGTGGTTTAACGGAAGGACGCCACCCCGGACAAGAATGGGATGACAGTCGAGAGGAGTTGGGCGTAGAGCAAGGCGAAGGAAAAGGTGGATTCCGGGGGAATTTATGTTGCCAACACTGGTCGGGAGAGGGGAGTTGGGAGCATCGCACCTCTCGATGATAAAAAAGATCTTTCGGGCATCATCGCCAGCGTCCGGGAGGCCCCAAAATTTCGGTCGGTTTCCTGTTTTCTCCGCCGCCCGAGTTAGAATGGCAGCCTCAGGCATCTGTCTCTTAAAGCTTCCGCCGGGCAATCCGCCTATCGCTGCGTTGCTTACGCGCTGACTGAGCCGTGGCCACTGCATCACAATTCCGCGCTCGATCGGAAGTCTAATCGGACCCGCCGGACGCCGACGCTCTCCATAGGCTAATCCGGATCCTACTAATCCCTCATAATCCGGTGGGAAGGCAGAGTACGACAGCCACTAACATTATACTGTCGCATTGGAATATATAACAATGAGACGTATTCAAGGACAGAAAAAACTTGCTGAGACATTTCACGTAACCTTCCTCCGCGTTCTCCCCCCGAGCAATCAAAAGTATCATCCCGGATGTACTCCCAAATCTCGCTTCGTCTCGCCTCCACTATTCACAACCTTTATTGTTCATCAAAGGGCCGTGCTCCTCGACCAGGGCGACATTGCTGGCCATAGAGATTCATTACTGGCACATCAGTCTCAATGATCGGTGTCCAGAACAAACGGCTCCCAAAAATCCTATGCACGTAGAATCACGGGGCAGTTCACCAATTCCGTTGTAATCCTGAACGTCCTGAACAATCCTGATGGCCCTCTATTGGGGCTTCTTCGCAGCACCGGAGCTCATACGGTTGAGATCCGTAGCCTCGTAGGCCTGGCCCACGGCAGCCTTGAAGGACTCCCAACCCTGGCGAACCGCAGGGGGGGTGCTCTGGTGAGAAACCGAAGCGTCGACTCTCGCGATGAAGTGGCGGACCGCCTGCTGCACGAAGGAGCTCTGGGAGTATCTGGCGCGGAAGAAGGCCAGGTAGAAGAAGAACAGCACAAAGCTACCCTTGGAGAAGGTGAGGATGCCCACGGCCAAGCGGAAGAGGAGAGACATCTCCAGCTGTGCGACGAGGTGCATGCTGGCGTCATAGTACTGCTTGACGAACCGTCCAATGGTATCGGCCAAGGGAGAAGGTCTGGCGGCGGGCTTAGGACCGCTAGGAGAAGCGGGAGAGGCCGGGGCACCAGGGGCGGGACCCTGAATGGTGGGAATCAAGTGGGCACGAGTGTAAGTCGCAACATGGAAGATGGAGTAGACGCTGAAAGGAAGCAGGGCCAACGGGATCTGGCGCGAGTAGAGCCAGACCAAAGCCATACCTAGTTACGCTTATTAGTGTCATTGTCTTCGCTATTTGATCGCCATCACTTACCGAGGTACTGGACATTTTCATCACCAGCCAGCTTCAGCGCAATGTTGGGAACACTGCCCTGGAGACGGCCACGGGCAATGTGTCCCTTGTACACCACAATTCCGTATGTCGCAGCAGCGGAAACAAACGCAAGGCGGTAAGCTACTTGTGCCGACGAGGAGTAATAGTTGAACGTAATGTAGGACAAGACATAGCGGAAAACCGAAAGGAGAAGCGTCACATGCCTATGATGCGTTAGCGAATATGCTCGGTCCGACCGTTCAAAGCGAGAGCCGGCGAGGGATGGTCGATGGGCAAGTCCGGCTGGACAAGCATGGACAAGCCCAAGACCGTGATTCTTTTGTATGATGAAACGTCGCCAAAAAGAACAGGCAGTGCGAAATAGGGCGGAGTTATAACCTACCCAGCGAACCAAGCAAATCTAAGTAGAGGAGACGTCGTCAGTACCAGCCGTCAGTTTCGGGAGATGCGACACATACTGCAGTGTTTGAGCCAAAGCCTTGAGTCTCTCAGGCAGAGGCAGATTAGCGGGCGGAGCAGGGGCCATTGCGATCGCTTTCTCGGGAGTCGGATGAAGAAGCAGGAATGTAGGGAGGGTCGTTGGTTAGTAGTAAGAAAGGGCCGAGATACCGGGGGTGGAACGGCGGTGCGGCACTGGAGCAGCCTACAGCAATAGTAGATGAGAAGGAAAAGGGAAAAGGAGGAGAAGGACCGAAGAAAGAATATCGGGGAAACTAATTGAGCGGTGGAAGCAGATGGATATCCACTTGGGAAGGGAGGCTGGGCGGGGACGGCGGTGGGTTTTGGCCTTGAAGGGAACGAACGGCGGTTCTGGTGCAAGTTGGAGAGAGTAAGTTAGTTGCCAGCTGAGGGAAGAAGCTACTACTTTTAGTCCTACTCAGCCTAGTAGTCTCGCTCGGTCAACTGGTTCGTTCGAGCATCAGCCGCACTCCCGTGACGTCGCCCGCCCGCAATGATGCAACACAACCGTCGGTGGGAAAAAGCTTATCGATGTCATGATCCAGGCGAGCTCTTCCCCATGTCGTGTGCATTCTATTCTGGGTAATTGTTGGTTGGTATCCGGATTATTGATTGAACCTACTGATTGGATCTTTCGATCACTGAGGGCTTTCATGCTTAGCAAAATTTATTCCTCATGAAGCATCCAACAGTATCCAAAACACGAGCAACTACAGACGATACTCTAATATCCTATTCTTGATACGAGTAGAATTACAGATTCATCGTGAGCGACAAAGCTGCCCCCACTCTCATTTCTAGGTGTTGAGCTGGATACTGCTCGATTGTTTTGAATTGAAATTACTATATCACAGTAGACATATATCCACACTACACGCTTCTTACTGAATACGCCTTGCGTCGAATGAGCTCTGCTGTCGCACCCAGATGGCCATGGAACAATACATCACAACCGATCGAAGCACCTTCAGCTTCGTCTTGCTTTCTTCGCTCATACACCTCCCGCTTCCATTATCGTATCGTTCGCTCTTCAATAACACTTCAGATTGACAACTAGCGCACAGAAACAGCAGAGGAACAAGGAAAAACGTCCAGAAAATAAAAAGATGGTCAGGGGTGGGTGATCTCACTAAAATGGTGTAAAGGAGGCAAAAAAATAATAAAGTGTACCGAAGACGAAATAAAAAGTAGGAGTACCAGGCCACAACGGGGAATAGGAAATCGGACGGGAACAAGGTATAGCGTAGGCAAAAGTACATAACAAGAAGCGAATGGTGGACATGAAGCAGTGAATTCCGAACCCAAAGCGGTCTTCCAGGCCGTCACCCCGTGCGTCGTCTTGCGATTCCACGACCAGAAGCACGGGAGCATCCAGACATTATCACCAAGCTGGATTCAGCTCCGGTGTTCCGGCCACATCTCCTAGTCAAGCCCCAACTGGTGGTTGGTTTCGGCTGAAGAAGAGAAAAAAGAAACAAAGGCTGTCTTTTCTTCTGCGGTCCACCCGGTCGATAATAGAGTCATTACTGGAAGCAGATACGAGAAAAGTAGAGGTTTGAGGGAGTGTGGGGGTGAGAACAAATAAACACAAGAGAAAAGAGGCGGCGGGTTAGAAAGAGCGTGCGGTCAATCGGGAGTCGTGGAGAAATCAACATAAAACCACCTGAGTGCCTCCGACGACCATCCGTAACCTCGGTGGTCCTTGATGTAAGTCCCTTGGCAAAGGCATCGGGGTACCAGTCATGCGTGCGTGCGTCTAACGAAGCGAGAATCCCTTTCGCTTCGGCTCCTTTTCGATTGGCCTCCCGCTTTCGAGGCGCGCCTTCTTCTCGTCCAGCTCCAGACGTTGCCGTTCCAGTTGGTCCTTCATCTCGCGATGTCGGGCGTATAGTTCGTCTTCGCTCTGTTTCAGCTTGCTCTCCTTCTCTGCGACCTTCTGTTGGAAGACCATCTTCATCTCTGCCTCCATCTTGGCGAGCTTCTGCTCGTGGAGGGCACGCTCCTCCTCTTGCTTGACAGCGGGGTTGACCTCCTTGAAGACGCTTGGGTCCTGGGCCACGCCCATCTGGGTAAGCTTGTCGGAGCGGTAGTTCTCGTACAGAGAGTTGTTGGTGTGTTCCTTGAGCTCCTCCATGTGGGTGCGGATCAGCATCTGGCGCAGCTTGACAAAGTCGCAGTGTTCCTCGTTGTCGACTTCGATGATACCCCAAGGGTAGCTTCTACCGCGCACTTTCCGGCCATCAGGGGTCGTGACCTCGGAGTTGGCACCAACGACAGCGAACGGGACCTTGGACATGATCTCCTGGTTCTCGGCAATAGTCTCCTCATCGTCAAGCTCATAGCGGGGGCCTTCGAAGATCTGGATGGAGTGGTGCTGGATATCGGCCAAGATCTGAGAGTGATTGCATCAGCATACAATACAAAAGGAATGGATTTAGGGGATCAACCTACCCTCTTCTTGAAGTCCACAATCTCCTCGTCCGTCAAAGTGTCAGCCTTGGCGATGACAGGGATCAGGTTGACCTTGGTGTGCAACCTGCGCATGACTTCGATATCGAGGGGCTTCAAGGAGTGGCCAGTGGGCTGGATGAAGTAAACGCAAGCGTGGATGCGGTTGTCGACAATGTTGGTTCTGTTGACCTTGTTCTCGGCCTCCAGGTAGGCATCGTATCTCTGTTCGATGTTCTCCACAATCGGGCGCCACGAGTCGTCGTTGTTAACAAAATCACCAAATCCGGGGGTGTCCACCACGGTCAAGCGGAGACGGACACCGTTCTCTTCAATATCGGAGCTGATAGATTGGATAGAAACGGTCTTAGGGATAATGTCGTGGCTGGGGCCGGTGCGTTCCTTAGGAGGGTAAAGCGAGGCGTTGAAGAGTGTGTTCACGAGAGTCGACTTTCCGAGGCCGGACTCACCTAGTGGCGTATTAGATTGAACAAATTGCAGCTGTGCGTGGTTCCGCCTGTTGGGCACTTACCAACAACCATCACGTTGAAGTTGAATCCCTTGCGGACACTCTTACGGTGCCATTGGTTGGGAAGGTTGGCAAAACCAACGTAGCCGGTCAGCTTCCGGCGAACGACATTCTTCATATCCGTAGCAGCTTGAGCAACAGCCTTGGGGTCCTTGGAGCTCACGGTCTGAGCGTTTCCCGCGCCCATTGGGTTACTGCGCTCAACGAAGGGCGAACTGGGCTTGCTGCTGGGGGGAGAGGACGAAACGGGCGTGCCATTGGCAACCGGTGCAGGGGGTGGTGTAGCTACATTGTGCGAAGCAGAGTCAGCAACTGGTTCATCATCCTGTCTTTCACTTTCGGAAGACAAGCGATCGAGGGCAGGCGAAAACGAATGGCGCTTCGGTCTCTGCGAGCCCTTCTGGAGGAAGCTTGGAGGAGCTTCCGAATCTCCTTGAGAGCGACCATCCGCACTTCGGTTCCTGGAACGTGCCATGGTGGTATCACAACGCGCTAGGATGCCGGGTTTCGGACACGATAGGGAGAATTGGTGGCAGGTAGAAAAGGGGGGTGGTTTCTTTCAAATCGCAGGTTGATGAGGAAAGGAAGGGTGCAGGGCGACAAGCTTACCCATTGTGGAAGTGAAGGGTGTGCAGGTAATATGGGAAGCGAGCGTAGAGGAAGCAGGTGGTAGCGAGCGTCGATGAGGAAGTTCCCCTGAACAGGTAGTACCTTCTTCGTTAGCGACAAAGTCCTTGCAGGAAGCAGTCAAGGGGAAGGTCTGGAAGCTGCAATAATCGAAGCAGCAACGTGGAGGATAACCGTATTCCACGTATGGTCCGTGGGGATGCAGAAGAGAAGGTAGGGAGGAGGAGGGGAGGGGGGCCAGAAAATAGAGGAGCCAGCCTGCGTACCTGGATACTATTATTCACCGGTAAAAGGGTGAGGTTCAGTTCAAAGGGGATGGGATTATGGCTGGAACCCAAGGAGGATCTCAAAAACACAGCTAAAAAAGCAGGTTGTGGAGGAGATGATGCGAAACGAAACAGGTAAAAAAAAACAAAAGTCGGGGAGAAGAAATGAAAAGGACGATGAAAGAGAGAAGTGAATACGTACTGAGGGAACAGGGGAAAGAGGGAGAGCGATTGGGACCTGCGGAGTGATGGGGGTGGTTTAGTCGTTGGAGCCAGACTGTTTGGTGGCCCTGTCCGAGAAAGAAAGGGGGGGCTCTGGTTTCTCTTCTCTACTTTGCTCCAAAACTAAACTAACCTAACTTACTGACTTGACTGTATGGGAAGGCAGGCTAACTAGTTAATCAATCCTTTTAGTCCTGCTGTCCTGTCGCCCACTTTTATTTTATTTCCCCAATGGCCTGTTTGATTGCACACCGTTTGGTTTTTAAATATGACACTTTCCTCCTCTCTCTATCTATGATCAATTGGAGGTTTTTCCCAGCGTTACCTTTTGTTTACACCCTCCCACACTTATCTAGTACCGCGACATTCCGAAGTACAACGGCTCCATGGTCATCATTATTTCACTCGGAACTCCATTGCGAACTAATTAGCCTGGAGTATTCTAACTGTCACTACTGTACTTACCTACTACCTTAGTAACAGGACCAGTGATTTTTTTGTTTTCTTACCGGACATGTCCATAATGAAAAAAAGCAATAAGAAAATCCCCCAAAGTCAAACTTAAAGTCCCTCGAGATCTTTTGGACACCACTAGCTTAATAAGAGATGCGAAACCATTCTTCCCGGGGGTCAGGTGTACTACAGTACGAAGTCAGTAAGATCGTGGGGAACGAATCCAACCAACCAACCAACCCTGGAGCCATTGACTATCTATCTAATAGGATGCACATCCGGGAATGGGAAAATTCCACTTTGGGAGGGCGAGGTTTGGAGCTGTACAATCAGGAAAGCCTGATAAATTGAACTCCTGACCCGTGTGTCCTGCACAGTGCTCAATCTACCGGACCTTGGGTCGACGGCAACCACTCCCAGGTTTGCTTTCCAAGACAGATCCGCTGCGGGTGGGCTATTATTAGTTGGAAGGATGCTGCTTTGTGTGTCCGGTGCGAATCATCTGGGACCTGCAAGTATCATCCGATGGGCCATTTATACGCAAGCCCACCCACCTGTCTTGAACGACATACAGATAATCGGGCGTAAGAAGCAGCTGGTAGGTAGGTAGGTAAGCTAACCGGCAGGAAAAGAAAAGGTTGCTGGCACCGCACGGGACAACAACACCTCTCTCCTTCGGGAGGAGCAAAGCAAAAGCAGACTAGCCTGTATTTCCATGCGTAACCGCGTAACGGGCGGGACGGCAAGCAGTCAGGGGGGGGGGGAGGAAGAATACCACCGACTAATACCCATAATGGACACTGACTCTCTTGTGTCGGGGCCGGAATAACAACGTATGCCGTAAGTTGCAGTCAAGGCGTTTCCTTCCTCAGCCAATCATTGCTGCTTCGCCCAACGGTCTGGAAGCAGGCGTCACACCATAGGAAGTTGCCGGTTGGTTCTAGCACTACTACGAAAGAGATAGTATTTGAGTCCAGTCGATCCGAATTTCATTCATCTCTCCAAATTTACGTCCAAATTTACGTCCAAATTTACGTCCAAATGTTACTTCCATCAAAAGGGGGTTGTATAAGTATTTCCCCCCCCAGAATAAGATATCACCTACCTACCTATCTACCTACCTACTAATTAGACCAACTACTTACCCTTCTATAAATAACCAAAACCCAATGAAACACCACCACCACCAACCCTGCATCTCCCATGATTAAACAAACCTGTGCACAGAGCAAGGGATCCAGAAACCCGACTCGGAGTAAATCATGAGGCTACACAGTACTTACTCACTTACACACACACACACCCCCCCCCCCCTACACCGCACATCATTATCCGAACCTATCGTAACCACCCAACATGCAAGACAGTTTTGAAATAACCATGGCAATCGGGCATATTTCATCCTGCAGTCAACAAACATACATACATACATGCAGCAGCAGCAGCAGCTACAGTAAATACTACTACAGTACAGTTTTACTACTTAATAATTAGTGCAGCTCGCTTAACCCCAACCACTACTACTACTAGTACTAGTATAGTAATAACCTCCCAGTAGGGACAGGGATAGGGATACAATAATGGCATGTGATATATCCTATATTGAGGCACGTATTCATGGTTGAGGATGTTACGAGTCGAATCGAATCTATTTCCCCACTTACTGTACAGAAGGTTTGGCTGGGGGGGGAGGGTTCTCGTTCTATGATCGTAGATCATGGATACGAACGAACGAACGAACGAACATGGATCAGCGTCGCGTCTTGGTTTATGACATGTTATGCACATGACATGCAGGTGATAATCGATAGTGTTGCCAATAAGCAAACTTTGGGGAGGATCAGAGCTGGAGGGCTGTTGGACGTGTCTTATTATTGTGATGGTTTTGTATGGTGGTGTTGTACTACTTGCCATGGTGGTGGCGGTTGACGGAATTTCCTAAGTAGTTAGCTAACTATGGTATGCTCAGTTGGTCAACGGTCCTTTGTATGCCATATTTTAGTATACATTTACAGGGATTTCAAAAATCCAAGTACAGAGTAAGAGAGGCAGAAGGACTATGCTAAATGTCATCCAGATAGATAAGCCCGGTTCATTATGCGATAATCATCATAACAATGGGGGACGCGGTCGGGAAAAAAATACAGGCAACAGGCTTAAGACGTTAAAACTATTTTCCAACCTTCGTCTTCTTCTTTGGCCGAGCTCCCTCCGCCTCTGACATGGGCTCATCCTCGTCATCATCTTCTCCATCAGATGCATCACCCATCTCGGCGTCACTGGCACTGCCGCTGCTCTCATGCTCGGAGTCGTATTCTTCCGCGACGTCAGAATCAGACTCGGCCTGGAAGTCCTCGTCAATGGATTCTTCGTCTTCATCGGCCGAGCCACGGTCAGCCCGGACGCCCTCGTCGTCGCTGGAGCCCATGTCGTCATTGTCAAGAGCTGCTGCGATGAGAGCCGAGGCCTAGTCAGGGAGGTTAGTGATGACGAACACGCGAAAGGATGAGGAATTCGCAAGGTTACACATACATCGTCGGACATTTCGTTCTTGAAGCGAATGTTCTTCGCCTTGAAGAATTCCTCGAGGGGTTGTTGCTCCTCGCTAGGGAATGTTAGCCTCTGCTAAATATTTGAGCGTTATAGAGATCCACATACCGGTTGATGTTGCTGAATTGGTGCTCTCCCAGGCCAGCCTTCAAGCTAACTGTGATATCAAATGTTCTGCTGGCCGAGATAGCACCACCCACACGCGACATGGTGATGATCGCAATGTTCTCAATCTGAATGTAAGTGGCGGGCTTGGGGACGAAAATCAAGCTCTTATCCAAGAAGTAGAGGAGACCCTCGTTCGCCTTGATGGAGCACTTGACTCCACTGTGACCGTGATGGCTGTAGGATGTCAGTAATCGGAGCATAAGCTAACATGGGATACCGTTTCACTGACCTGACAAAGTCCTTCGACGGCATGATGACCTTCTTGCCTGACAGGCCACGGAAGATCTTCGTGACCACCTGGTGGATGGGTTCCTCGTAACGGGGCTCCAACTTGTCTTTGTAGCGAGTTTCCAAAAGTTCACTGGTAGATTGTCAGCTGTATGCGATCCACAAATTCATCTGCTACACTCACTCTGTCATGTTGAGCTCCAAGCTGATTTCCTCATCCAACTTCAGCTGCATTACCAAGAATGGGTAGCGAGTCTGGCCTTGTCGTAGCGGGGGATCAAGACCCAGAACGATCAATGTATGTGTGTCATCGTTCTTGGGAAGCAGAAAGAACTTCTTGATAGAAGCGTATTGAATCTTGTAGTCATAGGTTTTACCGCGTAACCGGAAGGATGATTCGTACATGTCGATATCGAACCGACCTCTGCAATTTCGTTAACACACACCCACCATATCGTCTGGATGATACGCACCTGGGTGTAAGATGCAGGACATCCAAGAAAGTAGCGAATGTGTCGCCAGCCACATCTCCAATCTCCGCCTTGTCCATGAGCATCTCGTAGAACAAGTTCGCCGCATTCTGCTCTTCGCCCTCTTCTTCCTCGGCTCCGTTCTCTTCGTCCGGATTTTCCGCGTTTTCCTCCTTGATACCCTTCTCCGTCTTCACGGCTGTTCCTGGGATGTAGAATCGCATCTCGACAAGTTCGTCCGGACCCGAAGCGGCCTTGCGACCGCGGTTCTTCGTGCTACCGGCCGGTTTGGCGGGCTCGTTACCCTCGCCACCAAGAGCAAACTCCACAGCGACTTCATTCTTTCCGGCAAGGTTCGTGTTCGATATCTCGGAGTAGGGTATTTCGAATGCCGGTCGGTTCTGCACGTTGAAGGATAGTTCTGCTTTTGTAAATTCTGCCTTGCCCCAGTTCCATCCACGAAGAGCGTGCTCTCGGCTTTCCATGTTGATACCGTACCAGATCTTGAAGGCTTTGCTCAATCGCTCGAAGTCCTAGTGTCCACGGAGGCAAAAATTAGACAGCCTCTTCTCTCATATTGACATCACTCAGATATATTCCCGGACATACCTCCTGGTCAAATCCATCAAGCTGGATGACTCCCGAGGAGCGCGACAAGATTTTCAGCTCATATCCCTTTGCTGCTCGACTCCATTGGGCTGCGCCGATATTGCTGCTGTCAAGAGTGAACGTTTCGCCTCCACCGGAAGGCTTCCATCCTAGGCCAGACTCCGCCAGCTTGCACTTTCCATGCTGCTTCGAGAGGTCGAGATAGATGTTATCGAAGCTCTCCCTAGAAGAAAGAGTGATTAGCCCCGTAGTCGGCGATGATAGGTGAAGACGCTCACATTTTGGAGGAGCCCTCAAGGGTGTCACAATAAGCGTAATGGGTATTGAAAGAGTTGAATCGGTTGCCCTCGAAGCGGCGACAAATTTTAAAAGAGTTGTTGGTGAGTTGAGAATGCTTCTTGCAGATAAGGTGTTTGAGCTACTTCCGATACTGAGCTCCGATATCCTTTTTCCTGGAGTCTCGCGTTGCGCGCGGCTATGCCTCTTACGCGGTGCGGCAAGTTCCTGGCACCACTTCTGCAGAATTGGTTTAGAGTTTGATGCCTGAGGCATAAACAATCAACCACGGTCAAAATGTCTGGTTGCCTAATCTCAAGTGAGGTGGGTGTAATATGTTAGGCACTAATGGAGAATCGAATTATTCAATTAATCGGTTTGCTTGTTCAGCTCTTCTAAGAATATACCTCAAAAACGTGGATGCTGCTGTCAGATACTGCTAGGATCAGTTTGATCTATATCATCTAGCATATTAAGACGAGGGGAGCTCGCGGTAGTCTTGCATTTAAATTAATACTAATTTATCAGTTGTAGTGTTATACTTTTGTTAGTAGGGCACGTTTCCACACACTCATATTGGCATCAACTTGACGTCTAGGTTACTAAGTAAGTAGGGTCGTTGCCCGTAGTATGACTTGTGGAGAGTTACTCGGATCTATATATTTCGGCCAATACTTCCACATACCAGTTTATTACTACTACTATTCCAGAAGCATATCTCCGCCGAAAAATTACAAGCCAGGAAACTACTACCAGTAATGACTGTGGTATATATAAGAATATTCTAGAAGCGAACAAGCGTCGAGAACGAAGCACCTGCTTAAAATAACGCGATTAACGAATAATTACTAGATCAATTGTCAATCGCCCCCATAGTCAAAACCAGCCATGAGCCCACAGCCAAGAGCGAACAGTTGGTAGTCTAGGAAAACAAGAGAACTATATTCAACGCCAGTGCAACTACGTCAATGAATTTTCCATTGGAGACCATGCAGATCAACTTTCTACTATATATGTCAGGTGATGTGCCGCGAGTGACAGTCAATGACTGGGCATCTCCGGTAATCCGAGCTAGTTCATAATCTGAGCATTCATGGTTTCTGGAAGATTCTGGATACATTTTATTCCTGACCAAGCTTGGCCTAGCCATGGTGCTTTCTTCGCATATCTGGCCTGGGGGCTGTAGTTTTGTTGAAAACCTTGCGTGCACTTGTTGTATGTCGAGCACGAGATGGATAAAGACGGCCTTATTGCTCCCATCTCCAGAAAATTGCTTGACTGACAACCGAGCTTTTACTTGAAGTGTTCTTTTTTTTTCCTCGGGATACAAATCTTACATATCCAATGCATACTGGCAACGACAGGGTTCATCTGACTTGTCATTATAGGAGGCCACGATTGCTCTTGGCAAGGCATGTACATGAACAGGATGGCACTTCATATTTGATAAAGAGAGCTCACCGTGTGTATTGGTTTATATAAGGGCCTGAAGCAAACTATAAGTGCGAAGTACACCAAAGAAACAAACAACTACTGTCAATATAAAGTTGCTGGAATTCTACAAGAAAGAATATCACGAATCCATTACCGTAGCAAAGACAGAAAGGTCAACCCACACAGCACTGTCCATGCCGGGCGTGATATCTAGTACTATGCAGAAATCCTGGGGCCTAAGTACTATTATCACCTGATGCAGCCTTTGATTATGGTTCGAGGGGATGAGATGAATACTGTCGGTGAGTGCCCAAAACTCGTGATTCTATACCTGAGAGTATGAAATGGCTGCCTCCGGGCGATAATGAGAAGGATTGAGTCTAGTACAGAGCAGATCAGAATAAACACGATGTAGCTGCATGTAGGTGTATCGTGTTAGATAAACCTAATGTAGCTCCTGCGGTAGGTATATGGAATTAGACTTCTGTAACCTGTTCATGCGACTCTAGCTGCATAGTACACCGCCAGTAAGGACGATTTCAATATGGTGGAATGCATTAATCCTGGGCTGACGTTGGTGAAATGAAGGCCTCTAGAATGTTTATCTTCCTCCCAGTCTCCCGATGCTGTCCGTCATTACTGTCGCTGTGACGGCGTCCAATACTAGGGGTGGGGTGAATGGAGAAGATCACCTAATAATAGGTATCCAACCGGCTGCAAGGTGTCTCTCGTTCGGAGGCGCAAGTAGTGATCCTGCGTGGATGATCAAACCAGCCTCTTTCCTGATGGCAGTAGTCTAGAGCCCTTCCATTAGCATCCTTTTCCAACCTGATCGGAGAGTTGAAGGGTATGCAAATACCAATAATGATGTGACCACTTCGATAGTACAGGAAATGGAATGAAGCCCGTAATTGAGGGCGCCCCCACTTTGCGGTGGACACAAAACTGGCTCCCCCAAGTAAGAGTAGCTCCATTCCGTGGCTCATACGCAACAATGGGCCTTCTAGCGAGCGAGTAATGTTGCGTTTCACCTGCCGGGCCGATGAGCATCCCGAAGGCCCCTCACCAACGAGCCATCGAGAGCTGCTGACTGCGCAGTGGGTGGAACCCGGAACGCAGCCAAATGGGCAATGACCGGGCGGGAAATGATGGTACCTGAAAAACCAACTACTAAGTAACTTACTAGACTACCAGCAACTTCTCTGGGAACAAACAAGCCCCTGCCGGCCATGTCACTCGTTCGCTCCATCCAACTTCTTCTCCCAGTCGTTCGTTAATTAATTAATTTTCACCTGGCTGTGGCCATTCTTGTACTATCGGGCTATCTCTGCCTGAGATCACATTCGTTCCTTATCTCTATTTTCATTCCTTTCTTTTTTTGTTCTTCTACACCTTCGTCTATTAATGTTTTCTGGGCCCGACCACTCCTTTTCTCGTGTTCCTCGTGCTGGTAGCTCAGCCTCCTATTAGGAAAAACCACTGTCTTTTCTTTTTGATCAATCTATCCAGATCTCTTTCAACGCCTTACGCGGGTTCAGGCAATTTGTTTACAATTCCCCTTCTTCAATCCCTGGCCTTCAACCTTTCTTTGGCCTGTCGTCGCGAACCTGAACAATGAGGGCACCCTCACTGTTTGGGCCTGCGACGGCTGGCTTGTCGACTGTCCTCCGCCTTGGCTATTTTCTCCAGTCGACCCCCGCTTACGCACTCACCTTTCAATCCGTCTCAGAGCCCGAATTAGATCTGTCGCCATTAGGCCAAATCGCTTTCACAGGAGATTTCGATGCCATTTCCCTCTATCAATACACCGAACAGTCCGATACCGCTACCGAAAATGATAATGCGCAATCCCTTCTCACCCCTCTCCCGAACGGAATCCTCACGTCACTCGAGTCGTCCAACGCCCATATTCGTGCGATGTGCCCCTTCACGAAGAAAGACGGAACGTTCAAGGGTATTTTTGTCGGAGGCAACTTCACCAGCTTGGGAGGGGTCGACTCGGAAGGTGTCGCGCTGTACAATCCGGACTCGAACAAGGTAACAGCATTGTCAGGTCTGTCGGGCTCGGTATCAGCATTACTTTGCGACCAGGAAACGAACAGTGTTTATGTCGGAGGAAACTTCACATACTACAATATCACGAACGCCGTGGCCTGGGTCGGAGATGAAGGCTGGTCAAATTTGACGTTTGGAGGCCTCAACGGGCCCGTCAACTCGATCTTGAAAGACAGCAATGGCCATATCATTTGGGGCGGTTCTTTTGACGGCACCGGCAATTCTACATCATCCGAGAAAGGACTGCAGGTGATCAACCTTCAGAATGCTACGATTACTTCCGACGCAGAATCCTCGACAAGCGGCTATATCAGTCCTAGTAATATTATATGTCAGACGAGCGGCGACGATGGCGAAGGCAAGACCTGGCTGTTAGCGGATTATTCCCCCGGGTACTGGCGCGCCATGATGGGATTCGAATATTACCCTACGAAATTCAGATTGTACAACACTCATTATGAGGGACGCGGCACCAAAACGTTCCTATTCAGAAGACTTCCGGACAATGGAATTATGAACTTGACATATACCGACCCCGACACCGGCAAGGACGTCCACTGTGATCAGTCTTGCTCCCTTTCAAACAGCACATCGGAGAAGTATCGCGAGTTCCGTTTCGTCAACAGTGTTGGCATGAGCGGATTTCAGATCGAGATCCAGGACTGGTACGGCAAGGGTGCCGGTCTGAACGGGATCGAAATGTTCGAGACCAGTGAGTTACCGTCTCTTTTTCCTTACGCTGAACGTGAGATCTAATGACTGTCAGACATTTATGCATATGCCATGAATGCTTTCAACGAACCGACCTGTTCTGGTTCCGATTATCCGTCAAAGTCAACTCGCACAGGGTCGTGGTCTGTCGCACCGTCCGGCCAGAGCTCGTCTGAATACTTGACCACGCAGGTGACGGACTCAAATGCAACCAGTGCTTCAGTAGTGTTTGAACCCGATGTCAAGCTTTCCGGAAACTACTCAATCAAGCTGTACACACCCGGTTGTGAGCAGGATAGTACCTGTGATTCCCGTGGCATCGTCAATGTGACAGTTACCCCTACCAGTGATACCGATGAGCCTGTCCAAACGCTTATTTACCAAACCAATTTGTATGAGAAGTACGACACCATCTACACCGGCCATGTGGATGCCAGCGATGATTCTTTCCGTCCCCGTGTCAAGTTGACTCCGACAACCGGTCAAGGGAACAATGTCACTGTGGTAGCCTCACTGGTTCAATTCGTGGCAAACTCAGTGTCAGGCAATTCGAGTGATAACTTAAATGGCCTGTTTGACTACAATCCGTCGGATGACAGCACCAACGTCACGGCTTCCGCGATCGATCAGGCAGGCTTGGCACTCGAAGATGGAGCTTCCGTCAACGCCCTGGCCAGCCATGATAAGATCGTATACGTTGGTGGTAATTTCTCGAGCTCCAATATCGAGAACATCATGTACTTTGAACAGGATGGAAATGCGACAGCAATGCCCAAGGGCGGATTGAACTCTGAAGTGACAAGCATGGCGGTTCTGGGCGACAACCTTTATGTCGGTGGAAATTTCACTGATACATATGATGGTGGAAACGATGGCCTGAGTTACGTCGCAGCATATTCTTTCGACTCGAAGACGTGGTCGGCATTGGGCGCTGGTGTCAATGGTCCTGTTAGCGATGTCCTTGCTCTCAAGCTCAATGTCTCCTTGGAACTTAACGAGACGATCGTTGGCATTAGCGGTAACTTCGATCAGCTGCTAGCCTTTGATAACAGCCCAGCAACCAACGTCTCTGGATTTGCCGTCTGGGTTCCTTCGCGCAACAACTGGCTTCAGAACCTCAACGTCAGCCAATACGAGTTTGCTGGACAACTGTCAGCCTTTGCCGAGGCAGACAATGCAACTATACTTGCCGGTAGTCTTTCTTCCGGTGGTCTTGCTGCAGCCGGCGCTGTTGCTCTTCTCTACGACAACGAGCTGAGTCTGGAGCCTCTGCTGACGGATTTCAACACAAGCGGTCAGACCTACACAGGTCTTTTTGACACGAGCTCGAGCAACAATCTCACAATCCTAGGTGGCCACTTCACTACTAATGCGACCAACGGATCTGCGATCAATAACCTCGCCATACTTGATGGCAATGCCGCCACCATCCGTGGTCTAGGTGCAGGCATTGACAGCAACTCCACGTTCTTGGCGTTGGCAATCTCAGACAACGTTCTCTACGCAGGTGGAAATGTTACTGGAAGCGTCAGTGGCTCGACATTGAACGGTCTGGTGGTTTACAGTATGGAAAACAACACGTATTCCCAGCACCAGCCACCCCGGTTCCTTGGCGACGATGTGACGGTGAATGCCATTGCTGCCCGTCCCAACTCGAAGCACATCTATGTTGCAGGAAACTTTCAGAGCGCGGGGGCTCTGCCCTGCCCGGGTGTTTGCTACTGGGACACAGAAGACCGGCAGTGGAATAGGCCAGGCGCGAGTTTGAATGGAACTGTGCTGGCGCTCAAGTGGCTCAACAGTAAGGAACTGTTGGCAATCGGAGATCTCAACATCGACGGGAACCAGTCCGTAGTCGCGACCTATACCGTTAAGAAACAGAGCTGGCAGACTTTCGAAGGAGCTTCGGCCTCTGACATTCCTGGAAGCATCACTGCCTTCACCCCGGCCAACACCGCGGTGTCCAAGTTTTGGCTTGCGGGCGTGTATACCAACGGCTCCAGCTTCCTTGCCGCCTATGACGGTTCTAGCTTCAGTTTTGTGAGGAACATGTTCGACGACGAAACAGAAATCCGTGGACTTGAGGTTCTTCCCATCAACAAGAATCACGATGATGTGAGCAACCTGAACGATGACCAGATGCTTCTGGTCACTGGTCGGCTCCAGCTTCCGGACTTTGGAAACGCATCAGCGGCTCTATACAACGGGACAACGATGATACCTTTTATGCTGTCTTCCACCTCTGACGGCCAGCCAGGCAGCGTTGCTCATATGTTTTTCGCGAACTCGAACCCCTACACAAGCGGAGGTATGTCTTTCCTCTTATCTAATTGATTGTAGTATCAAATTCTAACGCATCAACCAGGCAAGCACCTGTCTAATGGTATTGTCGTTCTCATCTCGTTCTGTTGCGCTCTTGGCTGTGTTTTCTTGATCGTCATCGCCGGTATCATCTTCAACAAGATCCAACGCCGTCGTCAAGGTTACATGCGGGCTCCCCAAGGAGTCGGAATGGACCGTCCTTCCAACATGCGGAGGCTTCCTCCGGAGTACCTCTTCAACTCCATCAAGCAACCGAACCCGGGTGCACCAGCCATCTAAGTTGGAGGGAGGGGCATTTCGCCTGCCCCGGATGCACTACCTTGCTGATGAAAAGCAGAACGACCATATAATCTGACCCACCATCTACCACCATGTTGATTCCAGTCTCATCTGATACCTCGAACGGCGTTCTTGGGAAACAATCCATCATATACCCGATTCATTTTTATTCTTAATTCATGATGTTTTTCGACCTCCTGGCACTTCAAGGAGGTTGTTTGTTTGTTTTTTTTTTATCTCAATGTTATTCATTGTTTGAGATCTTGCTTATGCCCCATCTGCCTGCGCATGCACTGTGCGCATGCATGTTCAATTCAACGCGGACCCACATCGTGGTCCCTTCCAATCCTTGCCACGTTATAGTTGTTGTGATTGTCGTCGTTGTCGAGTGTGATCTTGTTTCCGTATCTATTGTACCATACACTCACACCTTGTCCTATGGACCGGAGTGTGAGAGACCTGCCTTTCATTCCCCCTCATCTTCTGAGCCGTGGATGTCATGTTACCGGATGGACATGTACATACATAAGATAAGTTAATCCGCGCGAGTCCGCGGTAATGAACAACATTTTGTGCATTGACAATCTTATTGGCTTACTAGGGGGTATCTACTTCTCTCAAAATTAGGTTACTATATTAGTAGTCAATAATATCCCGCCCTGCAGGTGTCATGCAGAGTTAGTAGTAGTAAGTAGTATAGACCTCTCCAATTCTTCACTAGTAGAGTTATGTTTACTTCTTCGGGCGTTCAATAGAATCAAACTCTGATAAATTTAATCCATGTACGCCGTGAAGAGAGGGAAAAAAAAGAAAATAAGTATCCTCATTGACTGACATGTGTCTCTTTCTGTCTGTCCTTCCATCTTTAATTAATTTTCCTATCGATGTACTACTCCTACTATATTAATAGCAAGCCTATCATAAGATACTACAGTGGATTAGTAGTCTTAAGTTACTGGTAGTAGGGTCAAGGAAATCCGAACTAAAACATGATTGGTGGCGGGAAACGGAAAAGAACGATCGAGATGTGCATGCGGGTTAGTAAGTAGACAGCTTGCTACTAACTAACTAACTAGTAGTTTATCTAGTTCGATTCTGGAGATTTATCTACACATCTACTTTTTAGGTACTTTTTAGCGAGTACTTAGTATTGATCTGTATACTGACTGACCTTCACGTTGTTGATCATGTCAGTGTGTAGTTACTTACTGTGCTGGTTAAGCGAGAAGAAGAAGGATGGGGAATAAAAAGCGGGGAGGGGGGAGAGGTGCCAGTCAGCATCCCACATTAAGGAAATCTAGATGATCGCGTGAGAGGAAAGAGATTTTACTTAAAGGGAAACAGAGACCAAAGTATGGAACACTAAATATTATGGACGAGCAAGCGAGTCAGAGATTGATATCTGTTAGCTAAGGAGTTAGTAGTAGATCACATGAGGCACTTTTGGGGAATTTTCCCCGCAAGAGACAACCGGAGCAACAAAACTGCGGACAACGGAATTGGGCCAGACTCTCTCTCCCCCAAACAGAAGGATGGACAACTTTGGAGTTCTCCAGCTGGAACTAACTACTAGTCTGACTTAGTAGTAAGACTGACACTAAGTACTAAATTTCCCCCCCGCTTTTCTTTTTCGCCCGCCTACTCGCTACTTGCGACTTGCTTGCTTGCTTTTCTCTTCCCCCGTCCCGCTCTGTTGGTCCATGGGAAAAAGGGAAAGAAAGAAGAAGAAGAGAAAGGGCAGAAAAAGCCGATGCAGTGAGCTTTGTAGCCGTCCTTTTTTCCCTGCGCTTCTCCTTTTTGCGCCTCTTTTGTGTTGCCTTGCGATCGTCACCCGTTCAGCCTCCTTCGGCCTCCCTTCGTCTCTCTCTCTCTTTCTCTCGCGCGCCCTTCCTTCTCTTCTCTTTTTTCCCCAGATAATCGCTCTCCGCCTCGGTTGTCGGGCCTAGTCGACTTTAGGGCGCTTTCGGGCCAGTCTCGCTGGCTGACCTCGCCTTTGCTCACACCTCTCTTTCTCACTCACTCATATCCTTCCCTCCCCAAGAGTTGTGTTGTTGTCGGTTCCCCACTGAGCTCAATCGGATGCTGCAGCTCACCTGCCAGCGGTCCCTACCGGTATGCGATCCCGCACAGGCTGGTACGTCCAAGATCCAGACATCACTACTACTCCCTCCCCATGTCATATGTTGGGAGATCGGGAACACCCGCCCCCCCCCCCCCCCCCGACCTCCCAGCAACAATCACCTTGTCCTTCTGCTTCTGTCATATCATCCAGACACTGACTGCTTGGCCCTCTGGCACACCCTCCGCAGCCTGACGTGTCGTACCCGGAAACTTAAATGTAGGTCTACAACCTTGCTTACCATCCCTGCGCTGGGCGGAAAGTCACAGATACTAAGAAAAGCTGCTGGGTCTAGGTGACGAGCAGAAACCCGAATGCTCGCAGTGTCGTAAAGGCGGCAGGGTCTGTCGCCCTAGCGAGGGGATCGTCTTTCGCCATCAGCAAAATGCCTCGATGAACAAGGATCTGAGCGATGCCTCCACCGGACGTGGCACGCTGAAGGGCTTCTACTCGTATAAGAATACCTTTGACAAGGACAGTGTCTGGCTCGACATCCCCAAACATGGTATGGACCCGCAGAACATCCTCGCTGAGAGTCCCGTTGGGCTGACAGGTGCTCTTCCTTTCCTGTAGTCATCTTCGTCGATAACTCGGATCCCTATGCGGAAGACCTTGAAGCTGCCCTGGGAGAGTCCGAAGCCGCCATTCTGGCCGCGAACTCTCATGCGCGTGCCTGGAGTGCCCAGCGCACGTCGTCTACTGACGGCGAAACCCATGGCTTAGAGACTCTTTCCACAGTGGCAGCCAACGATCGCCTTTCTTATCCTCCCTTGAGCATCGACCAACAGTCCATCCCGTCAACAGATCACAGCTTACCCTTTAATAATATCCCATCTACAGCATCCTCAGACACTCCAAGCCAGGTGCGCGGCGTCATCGCACCTCAGATCTCTCCTTCTCTCTCGATATCCTCCACCAATACCCATAATAATAATATCAACTTCCTTCTTAATCCTTCACAATCACGGTCACCACCTGTGGATCCCAATCTTCAGCACCCACCCGAGCGTAGGAGCTCATCATTGACCGCCAGGCCAGCCCTGCCGCGAACCACGTCTGCCGACTCGAAGTCGGAGGCGCCAGCAGAAACAGACCACGAGGTTGCATATCTCTTGAGACATTTTTCAGAAGCACCAGGACTTTGGTAGGTTACCGAACCACCACCACCCGGCGGGACATCGTTAATTGGATGTATGATAGGATGGATTTGTTCGATTTAGGAACCTATTTCGCATCGTCTGTCCCGGTCAGGGCTCTCCGAAATCCATTGCTGAAATACGCCGCCTGTGCGTATGCTGCGAAGCAACTAGGTCGCATAAAAGGGACACAAGTGTCGACCGGTGGTGTGTATACTAGGCATCTCGCCAACAACGTAGATTGGTCCTGGTCTGGCGCCAAGTATTATGAAAAGGCCATCCAACTCCTAATGAAAGAACTGCAGCCGGATAAAGGACCTCCACCGCTGAGTACCCCAGAGGCGTTTGGACAGTGGCAGGCTGCTGAGCTGTGCGAAGATCAAGAAAACCCCCGCAAACGCAGGCGACGTTACTCGGACAGTCGGTTCTCCAAGGGGGTCCATTCGGATGAGATCCTTGCCGCCACAGCCATACTATCTGTATATGAATTTTTAGATGCCACAGGTCCGGCGTGGAATCGCCATCTGAGTGGCGTGAAGTCTTTGTTGGATGTAGCGGAGGTGGGAATGATGCCGGTCGAACAGCGCCATTCCCCCGGGGGAACAGCGTTGCAGCAAACCAAGGTTTCGGGGCTCTCGAAGGCGAGAAAGGCGACTTTCTGGAACTTTGCGCGACAAGACTACCTAGCTGCCTGTGAGTGCATACATGACTTGTAATAACCTTCCTTTAAGGGGCTAATTGGGTTCGATAGTCATCAATGAGAGCCAGACAAGGTTAAACACCGACGATCTGGTCTTGTGGACTGAGGCGGGTCTCCAGATCGACAACATGGGCTTTGTACGCTCCAGTAATGCGACTGCAATGGGCTATCCAGACGATGAAGAACCCATCAAGGAAGACCTTGTTTCGAATGGCTTAGTTTGGATTCTCTCAAAGATTGTTAACTTTATCAACGCTGGTGATAATGTCCAGTTGAGTCACCCTGGATCGATAGGAGCGGGTCCTCTGGGCCTTTCACAGCAGGTATTGCTGGAGCGATGGTACCGCCTGGAAGCTGAACTCGATGCCTGGTATAACGGACTTCCTGAGACGTTCCAGCCTTGTGCCCGGGTTGAGCTTTCCAAATTACCCCAGAACAGGGACAACCCGAAGTTTGACGCTAGCTCGCTGTCCGAGGTATGGTATAGCCTACCTCTGTGCTCCTCGGCGATGCAGCATTATCATATGGCTCGTATCCTTCTTCTCATAAATAAGCCGCATGAGTCCACCAGCAGAAGGAGCACCATTGCTGATAGACTTAATTCATATCGCTCAATCGAGAGTGATATTCGATTTCACAGCCGAGAAATTGTGGGGATTGCGCTGGCTTGTCCAACCGGCGCGGTCCGCATCAATTCCCTCCAGCCGCTGTTTGTTAGTGGTCAGTGCCTGACGGAGCCCGGAGAACGGCGGACGGTCCTTGCTTTGCTTCACGGAATCGAAACGGAACTCGGCTGGGCAACCGAGTACCGTGTGAATCAGTTGCTCAGAGAATGGGGCTGGAACGAGGATTCTGCGAATGCGAGCGTCCACTGAAGCATAGAAGGCGAAGTGCCTTGAGTAATGGTGCTCGTCTCAAAGGACTTTCGTTTCACCGAGTCATGAGCACACCTAGACATACTTGCTTCAGGCCTCGCGGTTCTCGCCATCACCGTCCACTCGAATGGACCGAGTCTAAAGTCGACGCCAGCGGGACTTGTAAATATGCGGACCTGCTACATCGACCGCCGCCTAGGACCTGAAAAGCTTTTCATCCTGTCCCGGGCAGGCCAACCCGGAATGGGTTGCATATATGTGCATCTGTTTTGAGAATCAGCCTGTTGATTTTGAATGATACCAATGTGTTTTGTGCTTTGAACCCATACCGTTGTACCCAGAAACTGCATGAATGCTAATGCCAGGAGAAGGCAAGAACGAGGTGCCTCTCACTACCATCACTTCTTTTCACATCGTGGATCTGTGCTTTCCTTCTTGTCTCATGAGTTTGTTCCCATGCCACATGTTGGCGGTTAGTACTGAGTAGCCATCGAGACAATATGACCCCTCTAGCCCATAAGGCGCAGTAAGCCTAGGAGTAAGAAGACGGGAAGAAGCTCGAGCGCAGAAGTGGGCAGCAGAAGAAAAGCAGCTAAGAAAGAGGCCGAGGGCCCTGAGCCTCGAAATTTGCGCCTGGGAATTGATTCGCCGTCAAGCACTCGGCAGAGTTGCCTGCACCTTCCACTTCTGGCAGCTGCAACATCGGGATGCACGTGCCGCCGTTCAGCTTCCCGCCTCCTGATGGAGTCAACTCACTTTCCTCTTCGCAGTAGCTCTCCCTTTCCATCACACCACATCATTGGAGCTTCATACCCCTCGAAAACTGGAGCTCGAAAACAAGCGACCATCCCAGCCATCCACACCCCCCCCCCTTCTACAATTCATCATGCTAGCAGCCTAGCAGATGTGGACTCTGCTCTGAATTTCTGCACACATCATCGGCAACACCTTCAAGCCTGTTGATGATGATCGCCATGGCCGCGGCGGAAGGTTAACCGACCACCAATTTGCCCCGCGACCCTCTTCTTTCTGTGCTCTTAATTCAAAGTTCAGACATCCATCGTCATTATCGTGAACGATCTTCGTCTTGTTCCTTGGTTGCGTTGCGGCCCTGAACCCACTTTTTCCCCTCTTCCTCCTCCGCCCATCAACTTGCAGATAGATAGATACACAAGTCAAAGGTGTGGAACAGGCACACACACACACCTTCCGACCATCCCGATTCTCACCGCAACCCTACTTGATGATCTACCTACTCGTACTCCATCCTACACAGTAGAAATTGCATTGCTCTTGTTGATATCGTCACGATCTAAATACCAAGTAAAGAAATATCACCGATTATACCCGGCGTGCAGGAAAGTCTTCCGACCGGCTAGACTACTTAGCTGGCTTGGTTACCTGTATCAAGGGGATTGATTCGCTGGCCTTGTGGAGTAAGTTGTTGGCTTAGTGTAGCTTGGTAGAAACTACTAATTGGCCTACTTGCCTTACTAGATAATGAATGCCTTGGTAATTCTGCAGCAGGTGCGTTATTAATTTGATTCTGCACACTTTTAGCCTACTTTACCTTGCTCGGTACCTAGACCAAGTTGATGAATACTGGTTGCTTTCGGGTGAGCGGGATGATCCTACCCTGCCCTACCTACCTTACCATACTTTAGCTAAACTGGACTACTACTACTTCGTAACTAAGTACTTCACAGAACTACTAATGACTGCCTTACTGATACTCCGTAGTTGAAAACGAAGTAGTAATTAGATTTCCCGATATGATACGGGAAAGAAACCGACCACCGCAATACATACCTATCTAGTACATATAAACCCGGCTACGGCCTTGTCGGTTATCCCAAAGGAGTAATCCGAAGGAGTAGCCCTGGGAAATAGTAATGCAGTACAAAGTAGCAGTAGCAGTAGCAGATTACCTTCCTACCTAATCCACAGAAAAAAAAAAAAAAAAAAAAAAAAAAAAAAAACAAGAATCCGGTTCAGGTGGTTGCTTGATGATCCTGATGGGTTCGTTTGGTTACTATTGGTGAGGGGTATATGCGAGTGTTTGAGACAATGGGGTGGGTGTTGTTTGTTACGTGGATGGGGTGTTGGATACTGTAGTTAAGTACTACATAGTACTTTACTTTCTTGTTGCTTTGAGGCGGGGCTTGGTTGATGGTGTCTCATTTGACTGGGGAGGGTTTAAGACATCATCATGTCTGATGCAATCAGGTTTGCTTTGGGTTCTTGATATGCTATTCAAAGCACAGGGATAGGTCTAAGATATGATTAATTATGAAAAGGTAATATACAGGGTATAATTATTTCTTCCGGAGTCGCTTCGACATCCTCCTTGTTGTCGTTGTCTGTGAAGCTTGTACAATGGTGTTCAGCTTCTCCTTTTCCTTGGTCTCATCTTCTTCTTCTTTCTCGACCTTCACTCCCTCATCATCTGCAGGTCTCTTGGTTGGTACAGCTATAGCTGTAGTGACCTTTGTCTCCACCTCGACACCCTCCTTATCATCCTTTTCTACCTTCACATCCACCTTCTTCGACGTAGTCGCAGCCAACCGATCCGAAAAAGTCCTCAGGTCAGCCGTGAACAGCACACTATGCGCCCACCCCGCTTCTTTGCCCCAGAGCTTGCGAAAGTGGTTTCCCACAGCATCATAAGTAACCTTCGTCAAGGACTTATTTCCCCCCTTTCCGAACTTGTAGTCTCTCTGCGCGATCTGCCAGACTGAACCCAAACATCATTAGCAATCCAACCATGACATGACAAAGGGAGCAGCCGAGGTAACAAACCATGCGTATCAACCGGAACTGCCTCTCCCCATCCCAACCCCATCAAGCACACACAATCCGCAACCTTAGGCCCAACCCCCTGCAGCTCAAGTAACTTCTCATGCGCCTCGCGATACCCCTCTCTCCCCTCCGGCTTCATCTCACCCGCCGGCGCAGCCTCCACCCCCCAAGCCGGACACTCCGGGTTACATAACGAATCCAACCACCCGGCCTCCCGCTCCTTGGCCACCATGACCGCCGTCTGGTAGATATACTTGGCGCGGTACCCGAACCCCAAGCCGCGCAGCTTACCCTCCACGTCGGTAGCGGTGAGGGCATCCGGAGCCGGGAAACCATGATATGGGCGACCATTGATAGATGCAATGAAGGGGCCGTAGTTAAGGCAGAGCTTCTCGACCATCTGCGAGATGCGCGCAATGTTGTTGTTGCTGCTGCAGATGAAGGAGATCAGGGCTTCCCAGGCGTCTTGGCGCAAGATGCGGATGCCGGTAAATTGGGGGGCTTTTTTGCGGAAGTTGGGGTCTTGCGCAGACCATTCGGTGTAGAGGGAGGTGAGGTTGGCGGAGAGGTTGAAGTAATGGGTCAAGAGGGAGAGGGTGGTGTCGTCGTCATTGCTTTTGGGTTTGGAAGATTGGGTGGTGCGGTATGTTCGGTAGTAGAGGTGGGTTGGGTCTTGTTTCAGAGAGAGAAGCCGTCCGTGGAGAACGCAGCGCCATTCATCTGTGTCGGGGACGTTGTGCCATCTGTAGATAATATGGAGACCTTGTTAGACTGAACGTCGGGGAAGACGAGGAGGGTACTTGCGGTTATTTTACCGAAAAGATTGACCACAGCGGAGGGTGGTATTGATGCAGAGCTCATTGAGGCTCACGGGCAACTTGCGCCATTCTGAAAAGGCGCCGACAGTCATGATTGAAGTGAATTGAGCATTTACCAGCCCGTCGCTGAGGAAGGCGAATGTGAAAGGCACGATAATCGCGATAAGTTGATTCTGCCAGGAGGATTGGCCGACACAGCAGGCGGTCAGGACTCCGCAGACCAGAGGCGCTAACCAATTCGGACGGGAGTGTCGCCGATCGTCACCTGCGAGTTTTCCCTCCAGCGCAGCTCTTACTTTCTCCCCGATCACCCTGCTTCCATCCTTCGGTGCCATCGAGCTTGCCTTTCGGAGTGTCTGCTCGTGTTGGATCTCTCTCCGACCATTATTCGCTGTCCATCCCTTTCGCCACGTGAAACGGGAAAATAAGAGCCAAAGAAATATTGCCGGAGCTTTCAGAATGAACGGCGATACGTACACGTCCAGAGGTGAGCTTTATCTTCACCATTCCATTCTCTGCCGCATATGGTGGCTAACAATTATTTCGCAGATTCTGGTCGCCCTAGGGACTACTACGTGAGTGAAAAATATACAAGGGTGTATCTGCCCGAAGCTAACTGAAGTGAACGATAGCGCGAAGAGCGTCGCGAGCGCGGCGGCGACAGAGCAGAGAGAGGAGAGAGAAGACGTTCGAGATCCCCCCACTACAGTTCCAGAAGCTCCCGACGCGAGTATGAGGTAGATTCGTATTCGTCCAGCCGCGACTACCGCGCCAGAGAACGCGAGGACCGTTATTCTAGCCGCAGAGACGACCGGGAATGGGATCGGGATCGCGGTGACCGTGGTGATCGCGGTGATCGCCGACGCAGAGAATACGAAGATAGACCCTCCCGCCGCGAAAGGGGAGACAGAGATCTGTTCGAGGATAGACCCCGGCGGGAAGGCAGGGGAGACCGCGAGCGTGGAGAGCGTGGAGAGCGTGGAGATCGTGGTGGACGCGGAGAGCGCGACCGTGGCGAGCGAGGGGAGCGCAGACGGAGTGCGTCGCCTCCTCGAAAGAGGGAGGCCACACCTGATCTCACAGATATCGTGTCGGTGTTGGATCGGAAACGTCGCCTGACGCAGTGGGATATCAAACCTCCCGGCTACGAGAATGTTACTGCCGAGCAGGCGAAGCTGTCAGGTGAGTTTGATGTTTCGTTGTTATCTATATGGTCTAATGTAGTTACTTTGCAGGCATGTTCCCTCTCCCTGGAGCCCCCCGACAGCAGCCGATGGACCCCAGCCGCCTTCAAGCTTTCATGAACCAGCCCGCCGGCGGCAACGCGGACACATCTACCCTCAAGCCTTCCAACTCTCGCCAGGCCAAGCGTCTTTTTGTCTACAACATCCCCCAGACTGTCACCGGCGAGACCCTTTTGGCCTTCTTCAACGTCCAGCTCAATGGCCTCAACGTTATCGAGAGCGTGGATCCTTGCATTTCGGCCCAGGTGGCCCAGGACCATTCGTTCGCCCTGCTCGAATTCAAGTCGCCCAATGACGCTACAGTTGCGCTTGCGTTCGACGGAATAGCGATGGAGGAGCACGAAGCTGCTGGCAACGGGGCCGCTAATGGTGCCGCTCAGGGCCTGGAAGTGCGGCGACCCAAGGATTACATTGTCCCTGGCGGAGCAGAGCAGGAATACCAGGAAGGCGTGTTGTTGAATGAGGTTCCTGACTCTCCCAACAAGATCTGCGTGTCCAACATTCCCCACTACATCCCCGAAGAGCCTGTGACGATGCTTCTCAAATCTTTCGGAGAGCTCAAGTCGTTTGTTTTGGTAAAGGACAGTTCTACGGAGGAGTCTAGGGTAGGTACTTATCAAATTGCTCGAGGAAGTGTACTGACATGAATAGGGCATTGCATTCTGCGAGTATGCCGATCCCTCAGCAACAACCATTGCGGTGGAAGGTCTCAATGGAATGGAGCTGGGCGATAGACACCTTAAGGTTGTGCGCGCCAGTATCGGAATGACACAGGCTGCAGGTCTCGACATGGGCGTCAACGCGATGTCGATGTTCGCGAAGACGACGTCCCAGGACCTGGAGACCAGCCGCGTGTTGCAGTTGCTCAACATGGTGACACCGGAGGAGTTGATGGACCCTGAGGATTACGAAGGTAAGCTTGCTTGATGCATGTAAGAAGCGTTAGACTAACGGGATAGAAATCTGCGACGACGTACGCGACGAATGCTCCAAGTACGGCACTGTAGTTGAGCTGAAGGTACCCCGTCCGACAGGCGGCAGCCGACAGTCGCCGGGAGTGGGCAAGATCTTTGTCAAGTTCGACACGGTGGAATCGACGACGAATGCTCTGAAGGCGCTTGCGGGCAGGAAGTTCTCGGACAGGACTGTGGTTACGACCTACTTTTCCGAGGTAAGAGCAACCTATTGAGTCAATGGTTTTATTAATTTGCTAACCTGTGCAGGAAAACTTCGACGTCAACGCTTGGTAATGTAGGATGGACGGTCTATACACATATCCCCATTTTTTTTTTATATCATTCTATTTCCTTTGTTATCTTTCATTGCCACTTCATGACGCGTAATTGATTCAAGGCCAACGATGCCTGGGGCAGACGATGCAACAATCTGTACTGGAAGTTAAATTACTGGAGAGGGAGGACAGTGGTGGTTGCGATGCGCTTTCTAGTACTGTGTAGGGGTTACGATGTATCATAGCGAATGAACTTGGATCTGACATGCTTGAAGTAGATAAGTTGGAGGTATGACTTGTCGAATACCACTGACGGTCATCCCATACATCCCCATGCCACATGTTGCCGAGTTAGGAGTAGTCTTTACCTAGACTAACACATTATCGTGTTCATCTAATGGTAGTACATATCTACAGTGTAAAGAAGCATGTCCGGGAGCAGCTGAAGCGGCAAAGAGTAGGAGGCATGTTAGATAGTATCTCATAGCCATTTGATGACTAGCCGTCAATGCTAGAAAGAAATCCGAGGCGAACTTGAAGTTGGCAAGAAGTGAAAGGCATATTACAGAATCGTCAGAAGCATTTCAATAATTTGTTAGTAGAACATGCTTGTTCATATCTTTATAGATGCAATCATGTTTAAGCTTCTCAAATCCAACATATGGATAGTTTCGTTGTATTAACCCGTCAGCCATGTACTAACTAACTGCGAGTCATCTCCTTCATTTCCATTGCAGTCTCTACTACTTCAACCTACACTCAGCAGTCAAGATGGTCCGCCTTGCTCACGCTTTCGTTTCTCTACTCGGTTTGTCGCCATTTGCCATGGCACAAACCATCCCTCAGGTAGTCATCTCATGTCAGACAAATGCAAACTTATTGGTGATGTACATATGCCATAGGTTACTCTATGGAAAGACATGTATTACGAAGGAGACAGTGTCCAAGTCCCCGCGGACAACCACTGCCATGCCCTCAGCGAGTTCCAGCCCGATTTGTAAGTCGCCAATGCGAATATATATCCCGCTACGCTACAAACATCATATCTGATAAAACTACACAGGACCCGCCAGGTTTCATCTATCCAGATTCCAGACGGTATTCAATGCTATCTTACAGAGTAAGTTCAATCCAGATACATGGTTAATCATTATGCAAATGTGGCTAACATATAGACAAAGGTGGGAGTGTCTTGGTATCATTGACGATGCTGATACCAAGATTATTGGCTCTCCTGGGATAAGTAGTCTTTACAACGTTGATTTCAATAACAAGTTGGTGAATATCGCTTGTCTCACTCCTGCGTAGAACCGACTCATACTAAAGGTCATTGTGCGTATGAGTTCGAGTACTGGTTTCAGTTGTGACTTAGATATTTTATGTGTCGATCGCCCACACTGATATTGGCTTGACTTGCCGTTTAGTTGGTTGATGCGATGATAGTATTTTGGACATCAATACAGAGTCTGACTGATTAGTGCTATGAGCCTATGATATAACTTCAAGTAGGATTGATGCAAAACATCCTTCAATATACCCTGTGGTAGTTACTAATGAAAGAAATATACTTGTACTAGTAAGTGGTACATAGTAAATAGATACTACTAACTATGAACTCATAGAATAATCGACTATCTTCTGTTATTAGTGGTCAAGAACCTCCCCCAAAATCGTCAAACCAAGCGATACCAAGCATGCAATGAACCACTTGCCGAACCCAATCACACATTCCGCTACTAGTACTACGAACAGTTAAGTGTCAGTGTTCCTCGGCACAGACACGTTCCCACACGGCAAAGCATGCAGAAGCCGAGGACGATCGATTTCCTAGTCGATTGAACCCCGAATGATGATCACTCTGGTCCCCGATGGTTAGTCTGGTTCTAGCAGAGAAGCGAGTAATTAGTTCCTCGGAAGCTATGCACCGTTGACTCTGTAACTACTTTGTAGATACATTGATGAGATAGCAGACCTTGTATGACTATGGTGGGTATACACATAGTGCTATAGTCCCCACATATATACAACTTACATTAGTTATTTCCAACTACACTCATAAATCAATCACATAGTACTAAATGATACTCATAAAGATGGTAAGCACTACTCCCGCCATCATAATCCCTCAACTGATGATTTACTATCACGGAGGAGTACTTCGTAGTTAGTAGTTCAACGCCTCGGCTTAATATACATTAGGTCTGTGCGTCAGGGAAGGATCTCACACCCGCTACCCTACTGCCTTCTGCGGTGCTGCTCGGCTGGAACGGAGTACTCCGTTTAGTACCTAGTAAATAAATTAAATTAGAGAATAGTCTGGCCAGTTTCCCCGCGGGGGAGATACTATATTGAGCGGCGTTATACTATATTCCGTATGCAAGTACTAGGTAAGCAGTAAGCAGTAAGCAGTAAGCAGTAAGCCGTAAGCACGTGTGTCTTCACCACTACCAACCCAACTGAAAACAGTCGATTTAATCAAACATACGTAACATGTACACCACAGCTACTACAAAAACGGTGCCTGAACCAATCTCGAACGTTCCACAGACACATTCAAGACAAAAATGGAATATGTGAAACTCGATCAAAAAAGCGAAAAGTATAACTCAATTGAAAGTAAAATAGACAATAGACCCTACAGCCACCTCACACGGGGCTGACTACCTAATCGGTTTAGTATAATCTACAGGGTTTATATCCATCCATCCATCCGATGCCGGAGTGCCGTGCTATGCCATCAACTACTCTTACAAACTCCGAGGATGATAATAATAATAACTGCATGCTTGTGCATCATGCCTCGGCATTTCAATCCCAACATTTGTTGTATCTGGATAAGTCCGAGCGATGATCCGTTGATCCAACTCCTCCAAAGTGAAAGAAAGCATGCACCATACCAATTAAGTTCGACCAAAAAGGAGAAAGATAGTCATGTCAGTCATGTCATGTCACTTAACAATGCTACGCTAGAGAAAAGAGGGGGAAGAACGAGCCAAGAGATTCTAGACCGGAGGAGAGAAAATAAAAAGAAGTGAATTTAGTGGTGGCGGTGGTTGGTGGTGCCATCTCCGCTTGTCGCTGGCAGTAGTAATTTACTAGCATTAGTATTAGCCCTGCGGGGGTTTAGATATAACTAGTTACTTTGTAGTTAGTTAGCCGAAAGGATTTCATTATGCTGACTGACTGACTGCGAGACCGTTGGGGAAAGTTAAGGTTTGGGGGTGGACCGGGGTTATCTTTCATCGATGTACTACCGTAGTGGTTTTGCAGGAATGGCTACTAATTAATTCCCACTGTAAGAGTCATCAAATTGCATGGGATATTGATGTATGTGTAATGATTCATTTCTCTTCTTTTTCCTCTTCTAAGGGTATTGTATACATACAAACATCAATGCATCAGGGTATATAAAAACATCAAATCCAGCCGTAAACAGTTAGTAGTCTCACATCATATCACACAGTAATAATAATAATATAGAGCGGCTTTTCCATGCGCCCCATGCTAATAAAGAAAACCAACCAATCCAGTTACAAACGCCAATCCCACTGCATTATATCGACCCCTTCTGTGAATGGCTCTTAGCAAATGTAGCTTCTGGATCCCATTCACGGTCCGCGCCATTCTGCGTTGCGCTGGGCGGTCTCGGAGACGAGAAACTCATCGAGGGCCGTACATAGCGAGCCTCACGGCCGTAGTGCTGTCCTCCCTTCGCCTCCGGACTACGGGCACCCATCGTCCGTGCGGGACTCGGGGACCGCACAACTGGCTCAGGGGTCTTATACGGAGGCAGACTCGATCCGGAGATCATCTCGTAAGCGCGAGGATCAGGAGTTCCTCTGCGCGCATCGACAGAGACGAACTCATTAGGCTGCGTAACGCGGGCTTTGAAGAACTCGGCCCAACCGACAAAGATAGAAGGACGGGCGTAGAGGACGAAGTTCCAGAAGCCGACCGTCGCCAGTAGAATCAGAACAGCGAGGAGGGTAGCTTTGTTCGGGACGATAGCTTCGGCTTCACTGTAACATTTCTGGATGTTGCCTTGAGTTTCGACGAGACAAGTGAGCCAGGGGGTGGCGAGTTTCATATTAGCGACGGTGGAGGTGAGATGGTTATCCATTTTGATGAAGACGACGGCAAAGAAGATGACGTTGGTCAAGATGACGAGGACCAGGGCGACACCGCGCCATTGGAGTTGCAGGACGCGGCGGACGCGACGGTAGGCTTGACGGGCTGTGACGGTGCGGACGCTGGCGGAGTAGGAAGGGAGACCGGAGCTGGTGGTGGAGGTTTCCTCGTCATAGATGGATTTGACGTAGATGTAGATGCAGTAGACGAGGGTGGCAAACTGGAGGAAGAGGGATGCTCCGCCAAATGCGACGACGGGCGCCCAGTAGTCTCTGTTGCTGTCGTGGACGTTGATGTGGCAGACGGTGCCAAAGCGGTAGGAGACCCCAGTCAAGATGAGCATCTCAGTCAGGCCGACGGCGGGGATACCCCAGCCTAGGATGAGTGCTGTCCACATGAATTTCGGGCCGAGCATGATTTCCCAGCAGACTTGGAGGTGGAAGGCTAGTGTGCGGATGAAACCTGTAGTCGCTGGTTAGTGGTTGTTGCTGGTGGTGGTGGATGGTGTAGAGGCATACTGAATACAACGCATACCCAGCCTCCGAAGAGAAGAAGGGCTCCGGTAAAGGCGCATGACAAGTCGGTGTGCATGTCATTGGGGGTGATTTGGTTGTAGCATTGCTCTGGCTTGACTCCTAGCGGGATGATGAAAGCGATCTGGGAATCGAGTCAATACAGGGCAGTTGATCCGCGATGGCAGTCTACCCACCTCCATACAGCAGATTCCCAGGGTGAAGCAGATGCTCAGGTAATGACGATGCGTCCATTTGGGGGGCAGCACGGCGAATGATACCAGGAGGAAGATGCACAGGGGCAATGTAGCGACACCAAGCCAACTGGCGACCTTGGTTTGAGAGATCAATTCTGAATGCGACGATTTCTTGTTAGCTAGGATTCTCGAATACTGGCAGCAGGTAGCAGTGGACTTACTTTCGCCATAGGTCCATTCTGCCAATGGGCATGGAAGACAGCAAGAGACCTTGCCATGCTCTGTGGTAAGCTCCTCACAAAACCGTCCATCAATGACTGCGACGAAGCACACGATCAGTTCTGTCACCGGCAATTGGGTCCACACTAGCAAGGGATAGCGTACATCCACCTTTCGATGGGAACAGTGACTCCTGGAGGAAAGGAGTCGGACAATATCCAGACAATGTTTCGTTGGCCATAGTGGTAGGAATCTTCGTGAATATGCGACGGATGCGATAGAGGCCCGGAGAGGGTCATGTCCTGTTCCTCGGGGGCAAACGAGTGGCGGGTTTATCGACAATACTATACTAGTGACTGTGCCAGGCGTGGTTACCCCGCGCAAGAGGCTCACGGCCGTGGAACGATTGATTTCGATCGAACAGACAGCCTTGTGGTTTATCGCATGATACTAGTAGGAAGAGAGGGGAGCAAGAGGCAGGTGGGCGCGGACGGACATGGGGGGTGGGAAGGCTGATCAGATATACTAACTACGAGCTAGGGCAATGGATGATGTACCGACGACCAGAAAGATGGTACCGTTCTGGGCACCACTAGAGGATTGGTTGGGGCAATGGCCATGGACTGATAGGAGGTCCGTTCACACAAGAGCAACGCAGCGTCGCCATGGTCTGGGACGTCGCTCATTGGGTTCTGACGATAGACGGTGGAATTCCCCTCCATGGCTCGGAACGGCGAGAGAGAGACTACGGTAAGGTTTGGCACCAGGGGCATTGATGGGCTTGGTGGAGTCGCTGCACTCCATTCGACTGGCTTCGTGCGACAACGCCCATTCTGGGCAAAGAGAGACAGAAGGAGCGAGTCCCAAGCTCCGTCGGGGTTCCAATTGACTGGGAGGCGCAGAGGCAGTAGAGAAAATCGAAAAAAACCAATAATAAAATCAAAAAGAAAGTGAGCTAGTGAGTAGCATCGGGGACCAGGTGGAATCAGGAGAGGAAGGAAACGAACGAACGAGAGGCCTGGGAGACGGTGGTAGGGCAAAGACCACGAGCGGGAAATCAGATGCCGTCGCTGCGGACGTTGGTTGACTTGGGTTGATTCTGGTTGACACTGGCTTCGACGCCAGGATTCTAACGCCTTTGGGTAAATTGGCGATGCCTGCATCTGCATGGATCGGAGTGGTTTCGTCTTGCTGATTGGCCGTCGAAATACCGACTGGACCTGCGCCGTAGCTAATTGCTGGGCCTTTTCGTTTAGATACTGCTTCCTTAACGGAGTCGGCTACTTAGTTGCTGCTGGAAGAGGGGAGACCCACCCAGCCATCCATGGATCTCTCGGGGGAGGCTTCCATAATTCTCTTAGTGATGAGATAGTGAGCCATTGATTCCTCTCGGGGTATGAAACTCACTAGTCTAGGCTATCCTACTTGAGGGGGCAAGTCATCCTAAACGTTAGTGACAAGTTATCCGCCGCCTCTTTCTGCGTGTGCTGGTTTAGGGCACGATAACAATCCCATTATTTTCCAGTCTTTTGCTGCAATAATGGGGATCTGACTGCGTCCCCATTTTCGGGCAGGAGTTGCTCTACAAAAATTTTCATATCTCGTATATTATGGAGCACATCACATCGTCCCTACTGCAGGATAATTATTGGCCAATGTTAAGAATTCATTCCCACAATCCCTCGGGAGGTAAAAATTTAGGATTTCTTGGACTGGCCAACAGCCTGCAGGAGGGAAAAAACTCAGCAACCTCCCGCGTACCTTACAGTTGAGTGCCTCTGCTTAGTGCGTCGGAGGGGCTTCGTATGCAGGCAGGGGTTGAAAGGCACTTCGATCAACCTCCACTATACCCGAACCAGCAACCTTCCCAGCCACTAGAAGACTCATCCTGGTCGTTTTGAGTTCGACCGGCTTCGCACGAGTGTCGCGACGATTACTGCCTGTATCCATCGTACTCTGCAGTAGGCCAGTAGCCCTTGCCCCTGGGTGAGGGTCGACCTGCCACGAGACTCTAAACTCCCCATAGCCGGGTTTTGACTCGATAGTCGTTCCATGGGAATTGAATGGTCTTTTGGTGGTCACGTTACATAACTCCCAGGATTTACTCTGTGCTATGTTGCAGTTATCTTGGTTGTTTTTTCTTGCTTTACCCCCTGGTCTCTCAATCTTGAGCCATCTGATACCTGGTGTGACTCAAAACAAAGGAGATCTGCCATCAGTGCCCCTGACTGTGTAGCCACGGACTTCAGGGACAAAAAGGTCCACACCTGAACACAATCATCAGCCAAGTAAAGTACTTTTAGTAACCCAGCACGTAAGCACAGGAGTAATGCAACTCAACAACGACGCCTCTGTCGCACTGCCATCGTCATCGGCACGGGCATCAATTGCAAAAACCCCTCCACATACCGTGTATAATCTAGATCGATGCCCCAGTGGCGGCGGGCGCATGGACCAACCGACTACTCTGGTAATACTACATCGTGCCGCGACCGCTGGACTTGTGCCCATCGCTATCGAGGTTGCATCCATTCCTCGAACTGCCACACGGACCTGCATCCAGTCTGCCGTACGGACCTGCATCCAGTCTGCCGTAGCCGCATATCGGGTCCATTTAGTGCAGGTTCATCATCCCCAACAAACCCTCATCGCTAAACAGATGGTCTAGATATCCCGTTGCGCGGGAATTTGCCGCGGGTCTGATCGACATCAACCTTCTTGTTCGTTAAGCAACCCACGGTAGTTGAAGTCTACCGAGGGGGACCTTCCCTCGTCCGGCTAAATTTAGGGCATCCACTCCCGGCACCGAAGCCTGGTATACTAGTTTAGCTTCCCCTTCTTAGCTGCCTGGAGCTTTTGCGTGATCCAGTATGGATTGACGTTCCTCTAGCTTAGAAGTGGGTTTTGCATATCAGCATTGATCGACTTCGGTAGTGGTTAGCTATCAATTTCCTCAGGAAAAACCTTGGAAACAATGGAAACTGGGTAGCGAGATTCCGTAGACCAAGCTTTTTGAGAAGGGAGTATGCTTATTTCCCTCATTGGGTATTGTGGACAGAGAGCGAGCCAGCTGTTCGATGCATGACTGGGTATATACCGATCTTCAATCTTTCAGTGGAATCTACGGGCGGGTGCTAGATTTTTGTCGATGTCGATTTCGATTTCGCTTCTTCCCACAATCCCATTGTTTGTCCAGCCCATGGATTCGTGTAGCTATCCCAAACCCTGACCAGGAGACGGTCAGCTAGCTGGCTTACTCCATAGTCCTCACCATCTACTCCGTACACCACGACATGACAGACGTAACCACACGTGGAGAATTTCTATAAATGGTTTCGGCAATAATAGGAAATAAACATTTGCCACATTCTCTTCGCGGCTTCTAGTCTTGAGTTAAAAAGTACATGAATTAGCTGGATTACAAAGTTTTCAAATTCCCACTTAGATGGGGCCTTTTGCGACAATTTGTTTCGCTTGGCTATCTTTGCCTCTACCCGAGTCTAGAATAGCTACTACGTAGTTAATTACTCCATAGCACTGACTAAGTTTGCCGGGTGGATGAAACTGACAGTCTCCAATTATGCCTCCATCCCGTCATCGGCATTGCTCCCGCGCATCCCGCAATACGAGAGATTAACTTAACTCATCGATAACTAAGTTATAGCTTAACCAGAGTTGCACGGGAGGTATCTCAATATCTTTGCACACGCATCGAAGCGTCATCCGTCGTAGAACTTTCCATCCAAAGTATACCTCGTGTCTTTTCCGTGGATTCCTGATTAGACCTTCCCAATCGGGTTTTTGCTATTGAATTCAAATTCATCTCCTGGAAGCATGTCGCTGCCTTGGTAGATTTGCATGAGTGATTTCTGGTCTATCATAGAATAGTTGGCCATGCCATGCAGGTCTGGCAGCTATCTATTACATACTGTGTAGTATAATCAAGGATTTTTTCTGGCCTACGCAGTACTTTTACATCTGTATGGTGGCAGCAAAAGCAATGCATTGCTAGTGAAACAACTAAAGTGCAGACTATGGAAAATTCTGATAGTTAGTCCCTTACCCCCTGGTGAATTTGATATACAGTAAAACACGGTTATAAGCAACCTATATGAGACACGCCACCAAATTGCTTATATCGAGATCTTGCTTATATCGAATATTCTACCTAAAATAGCCATGAATATTACTTTGCTGCGTGTTTAACACCTTTCTTTGAAGGATATCACGCTCCTAGTATATTAATAAATATAAAGATGCTTGATTAGCATCATTTTACTGTTCTTTATACAAGCGGAGATTATATAATGCCTGCAGGATTCTAGTAAATAATATAAATAGTAGAGTCTCTATTATTTTATCCTTCTTCTTAATCTCATCTTCTGCAGCGTACTGGCTTAGAATAATATCATTAATTTCAGTAGTTATATCATGAACCTGCTTTTCTAGAGAATTCAAGAATTACTCAATTTGTATAATATCTTGAATCCATGCAGTATTCTGTAACTTCTGTAGACTAGTAGTCAAGTCATGTACGATAGCAGAGTCAGGCGTATGGTTGTAGATATTATTTAAAAGTGCGTGTGTAAAGCAGTGGTGAATTATATTATCTTTTATATTAAAATACTATGCAGATATTGCCCAATGGAGTGTTTATAAAAGATTTATTATAATTATAAAATTATATCCCCGGTTATATTTAGTTATTATATAAAGCAGTTATTACTATTTCTAGTAAGTCTTCCAGGTCTAGATAATGCCTTGATCAAGTGGTTAATATTATGATATTATATTAAATAGCAGCTATATAATTAAAATATTTAATAACTATATTTTAACTTCTTTATATACAGCAAGATAAAATAAGAAATTATTATATAATAAAATAACCTACTGGCTACTTATTCTCTGGTTAAACCAAAGAAGCTATTCTTTAAAGATTATAATAATTATCTAACTTTTTTAATTATTTTGCTATTTATAATCTAAATTCTCTGAGTTTATACCTACTACTTAGAATACTCGAGGCTTCTTTGCTGCACCAATAAACTATAAAGAAAGATGTTCAGAGATATTAGTATTATAATAAAAATATATACTGATATATGCCTTATCTTTCTTATATCCAGGGATTGAACGCGTAGAAAGACCATGATCCGGAGGTATTCTTTAATATAAATCAGTTTTATTATAGTTGAAGATATTACAAGACACGTAAATATATAGTATCTTATATATTAAGATTATCTAGTCTTTAAAATTATTTTTAAGTATTATCTTCCTGCTCTCTTTATACTACTTGAAATTCCTGATATTTTTCTTATATTAAAAACCTCGCAGCTAGCTGTTACTGAATAATAGTATTATCTTATTAGAATAGATAATCAGCTAGTATTACTTTACTTTCTCACGTATAATCTCTTGTGAGATAGTAATATGGGATTATATATATTCAAACTAGTTAATAACTGCTGTTTCTAGCTCTGGCTACAACTCCGTTTGATGTTATTTATTGTTCAATCGGTAGTTGGGAATAGCATCAAGAGAATTATATTAAAATAATAAAATACAAAATACAGAGGATAAAGTAATTTACTAGTTATATATGATTTTAAACTACTTAGTAAGATTATTATAAGTAAGATTAGGCTTTAATTAGTATTAGATACATAGAGCAGCTTTTTAGCTGTTAGAAATATAATATTGTATTTATATAGAGGTTTGCTTTAGCATGATTCCTGAAAGATAATATCTAAATTAGCTATTCTGAGCATCTGATATAGGTAATTTTGTATAGAGGAAGGTCAGGAACTTAACAACTTACTAGTAATAGAGGATGAAGTAACTTTGTATAGTATAATAATTCAGACACAGTATTCTGTTGCTTATAATGGAGAGTTGCTTATATAAGGTGTTGCTTATAACCGTGTTTTACTGTACTAATGAGACAATCACTACTAGTATCTACACCAAACAATACGAGATGCACCCAGAAAAAAAATCCATTGTACCCCTGACGAAGAGAATTCAAATTCTCCTATTTGCTTATTGTGTTTGGATGCTACTTCCCCGGAAGGAATCCAATAGTAAGCCGGGACTACCTGCACTATAGCTCATAGGGCTGTCAGAACAAAACCTCGCCGCCAAGTCAGTTGGCAGGAGACGAATCAGCAAAATAGGAGGGAATTCGATCATCCAACTGGTCGTCCGTTGAACATCCTTTCAGCTATCTGTGATGTCTGTGCTACCTTTCACTCTCGAGTCTTGACTGGTGTAGCTTTGTATACGGTCAGCTCTACTAGCGGGGCAAATCAGCCCGCAGAACAGCAGCGACCGTGAAATCACACCAGGTCATGCGATGAAGGCAAGACAAGACACATCGGGACTCGGATGCCGTAAGAGACAATTCTCACTCTCGCCCCCCAGCATATCCCAGCGATCCATCTCAGATCCCGCACAAAGTATCTAGCCCGTGCAACTGCGCCATCAGTTGTGGATGAACGGGGCAAGCCAATCAGTCGCTGCCATCCAGCAGTGACGGTGACGGGGGCGATCATAGGCTCATCACCAGCTGACCGGTCACAACGCGTGGAGACCGATGCTCGCTCGCGGTACCCACGATCTCACCTCTCCGTCCTTTGCTATGGATCTCTCATTGCTGAATGGTGATACATACGGGGCTCAGCTTGCCCTTGCACTTGCCCCTCTCCGCGCCGTGCCCTGGAGTCGGTCGCACTCGACCGTCTGATTTGGCGATCTCCGGGATCAGACGTCAACGCACAGCTCGTGGAGTGGTCGAATCATGGACCTGGATCGCCTCCAAGTTTATGGTCCCTGGTCTAGACTTGCATATCCTCCAGTCTATGGAGTACTTACGGTGTACAGAGTACAGTGTTACTGATCTCGTACAACACGGAAGATGGCCGCTTCTATCGTACGAACAAAGTACGATTCGATTTTATTCTCCTCGTTTCGAATACAGACGTGTTGCTGATACCCACTTGCCTACTTTTATGCTCCACAACTGGCGGTCACATCAGGTGGGTTTGGATGAAGCCTGTCAGTGACTCAATCATCACTACTTCGTACCAACGGCTGGTGTCCACAGCCCACTATTGCTACTGCTGCTAGGATATGACACATCGCCAATCCGCAACGCAGGCTTCCATGCCCAAGCGAATGGTCTTCTTGGCTTCAAATATGCACACACAATGATACCGTGTAGCTGGTTGACTAGGGCTTACGCTTACGCTCAAGCGGGTCTACTGTTGTTTCGGAGTTGCTGCACGAGGCAGACCACCAGATAGACAGACAAACTGCATCATGAACACCTATCTAGGTACAGGATGTTCGCAGCAACAGTTGATGCACGTCGCAGAGCAGACCATGGTTCGTCCGTCTGCGCGTCCATGTAAGTTGATTTGGAATCTTGATGGACAAATCACATTATGTCGTCAAATTTTCTATGGCGTCGCGCGGAACACGCTGAAAACCAAGGAACCCGATAACACCATGTGGGGAGGGAGTTGCGATGCTGAAGCGGATGCACGAGGATGTCTTGAAAGCGATGCCTCGTTGCGGTGTGATACTGCTTGCATTTGCTTGACACTGATGGAGATGTGCAGCTATGAGGACTTGTCTGTTGGACGATGGGGATAATGAGCTTTACGACTCCACGAGGCTGCGTGGCTCTCTCAAGCAGTCTTTGTGATCGTGAAATGGCTCATCGTATAGAATGCATTGCCGATGCCATCGCAGTACTCCGTAGTATAAAGCTGCAACGCGATAGAACTCTCAGCGATAGCAGTGGGCAGATATGCCGTCGTACTGCATGCTCAAGACATTGTCTCGCCAATCCTCTAAATTCCCGTACATCTACAATATGGTATCGCACGACTCCATGATTTACACGAGCAGGGAAAACACCGTAGTTCCGTTGAGTAATATGTATATATTGATATATTGCACTATAAAGCCCATCCCTCCACACCAGAATATCCTCGAATAAAATGTTGGCAACCTATCTTGATGCGAGTTAGCACGATGCGTCTCAACTCCCATGACATAACATTTTGCGAAATGAAAGGATATCAGAAGTCCATTTAGATCATCGAGATAGACCGAAGCCTATCTCTGACATAAGAGGTACCAGAAAAAAAAAAAGTAAGGTGTGTTTCATCCTGTAAAGCAGAGGGTAAAAAAACATAGGAGTGAAAACTAACCTGAATATCAAATCTGCCAGCAATGTAGCTGTATCAATTAGTCGATCACCATATAGCCGAAATTGAAGAAATCAGAGCATCATAAACTCTGCAGCAGCTCAAAGCAGCTCAAAGCAGCTCGCTGGCATACCACAAGAATCAAAAACCCAAGACTAAAGGAAAGTCAAAACGGAGCTTAAAAAGCTCCGGAAAGAAAAAAATAAGCGAACCCAACTCCCACATCACATGACCATACCCACAACAACCCATCAATTCTGTATCCCACGTGACCCACGATCGCAAAATCCACCCAACGAAAAAATAACCTCGTCCTCCTCGAACTTTTCGATACTCGACCAGCTCACTCACAACCCGTTCGACAACCACCCCCGTCAACACCACCAATCAATCAAAATGGGTCGCCTTCACTCTAAGGGAAAGGGCATTTCGTCCTCCGCTCTCCCCTACTCTCGCACTCCCCCGAGCTGGTTCAAGGCTTCCACCGAGCAGGTTGTTGAGCAGATCTGCAAGCTCGCCAAGAAGGGTGCTACCCCCTCCCAGATCGGTGTTGTCCTCCGTGACAGCCACGGTGTTGCCCAGGTCAAGACTGTCACTGGTAAGAGCCCTTTTCCTCTGTGGATTATTCGAAAAGTGAGGGATGGGAAAGGATACTAATATATGATATGTGAATAGGTAACAAGATCCTCCGTATCTTGAAGTCCAACGGTACGACATCACCGACAAATTATTCCCTTTCACCAGTCGCACCAGTTGCATGAGCATGTTGTGGATGTGAATATGGCAGGAATGGGCACGAGCAGAGCAGCAGCCGCAGGACCCGGATTGGAATATATCCGGCGATTCGATTCGAGTTATTGATGGACAACCGATACGATATATATTCTTCACTTCCGTGAAGAAGAAGAGGGACAAGAGAATGAGGTTGAAACATACCCGGAATCTTTCTCAGACTCTACTCCGTATCGACATGGCACACTCGCAAACCCACAATTGCAGTCTCGCAATCGCAGCAATCCCGGCTCTCTCTGCCTCCCACCATCTCTACACCACACACATACCACAACATGTCCATAAAACTGGAGGGCACCGGAAGTTAAAACTTTCAACCCCCAAACTCGCAGAAATGCAGTTGGGAAGTTGAAAGTTTTCTTTTGCGTGATCCCGTATGCCTCTGCTTGGTCAAACCACAGGCTGACAGAGTGATTTTACAACAGGCCTTGCCCCCGAGCTCCCCGAGGACCTGTACCACCTCATCAAGAAGGTATGCCAATCCCCCCTATCTTAATCTACAATAGTAGAGGTCATGCTAACCAATCTGGTTAGGCCGTCGCCGTCCGCAAGCACCTTGAGCGTAACCGCAAGGACAAGGACAGCAAGTTCCGCCTGATTCTCATCGAGTCTCGTATCCACCGTCTGTCTCGTTACTACAAGTCCGTCGGTGTCCTCCCCCCCACCTGGCGTTACGAGTCCGCCACTGCTTCCACCCTCGTCGCTTAAGCGCGTGCACATCTTGTGCGGGGTTCGAAGTTGTTGTGGTGAAGTGGCTGTCGTTGTGGTTGATTGGGTCGATCTGGAAGGGTTGATTCCGTCGATAGTCATGAAATAAAAATTATGACCACATACATACCTTTCTACTTTCTTACCGTAGTTGTTGTAACTTGAGTGTAGCTGTATATTCTATTTCATGTATACGTTAAATACTGGTTGGTATATGTCACGACCGTATAACCTCCTTAGCAACAACATTACAAACCTCCACCCTCACCCCCGCACTCGCCAATACATGAATCCATAATCTCTGCGAATCACTCAACCGATCATTCGCCGACTTGACTTCCACGAACATCACCTCCCCGTACCCTTCTTTCCCCTCACCATCACTCTTACCCTCCTCCTCACCACCACCATCCTCCCGATCATACACCTTCCAAATCAATAAATCCGGCACCCCACCCCCACGAGCCTGATACTCCTGGGCAACGACCCTACAAACAGCCGCGAGGGCCTCACCCGGGAAACATCTAACGATCTGAACCAAATCATCCAACTCAAAGGACCAATCGAGGCCAATCGCGCACGTCTGGCGCGGGGATTGCTCCTCGTAGACAGCGCGAATCAACCGCTCTGACTCGCCGTTGGTGATTTCCACCAGTCGGTGGTTTATCTGTGAGAGACGGGTCGGGTAGAAGGCGTCGGTGTGGAGATCGAGCGGGCTGGTTTGGAAGGGCGTTTGGAAGACGTTGGGGACGTAGGTGTAAAGGATGTCGTAGAAGAGGTAGGTGAACAGGGTTCTGATGATGCCTCCTTCGGAGTGGTAGCCCTTCCAGCCACGGTCTCGATACCAGCTTAGGCACATGCTTTCGACGCGGCATTCGCCGCCGTCGCGGGGGTCGAGCCAGATGGTGGGGCGGCCGCGTTTAGATACCGCTGTAGGAGTAGTAGTAGAAGTGGTGGTGGTGGTAGTGGTATCGGCTGGGGTTGAGGGTTGGGTTTGGGTTGGCTCATCACGCTCGATCTGGATACCTTCGATCGTGCGTTCTGCGGGTCTGGCTAGTCTGACGTGCCCGAAGTCGTGCTGTTCGCGTTTCACGACCTTCAGGGCTCTTTCAAGCTTAGTTATTCGTTTCTGCAGGTCATAGTGGTAGATGAGATGGCAGTCTGGGTCTTGCAGGCCTGTTTCACAGGTTTGAAGGGCGATGCGGCGCCAGTGTTTGCGTTGGGCTTCTTCACCGCGTCCTTCGGAGGGCTTCAGGGCCCAGAGGTAGTGTTCTTCGAGGAGGGCTTTGCGTTGGTACCATGCGCCGCGACGGGCGGCGTGGAATAGACGCTGGGCTAGGAGTTCGGAGAGGAGACGGTGCTCCTCTTCGTGCTCTTTGAAACGGCCTAGGGGGTGGAGGCCCTTGTGGATGATGCGGGTGTATACCCATGCGGGGGAGAATCGGCGGAGGTAGGCGCCTTCATTGTAGTCGTAGATGGTGTCCTCTTTTTGTTGTTCCTGGTGGAGGAGGGTTTTCCACCGCGGATAGACTTTGTAGGCGAGGTCTTTGACCTGGGTTAGCAGTTTGACGGTGGGAGTGCCGTTAAACTCGAGGAAATTGTCGATTTGGAATTGCGTGCGCAGGGCGGATTCGAATTCTAGAAGGATCTCTCGTGAGGGGAAGATGGAGTTGGTTCGACAGACTACGTATTCTGGGAAGTTTCTGCGGGAGATCTTGGCTAGGATGATGGTGGTGAGTGATTTCTCGGTCCATTCGGTGGACCGGTAGAAGACTAGATGGACTCGTTCAAAGAGGGCACGAGGGCCGGAGGCCAGTCTGATGCAGTCGCCGGTGTAGTCGAGGATCTTCTGGATGAAGTGGTCGTCTCTGTTGTTGCCGTTGGAATTACTGTTCCAGTCGAGACCGGTCTGTTTCTGACTTGATCGCTGTAGAGCGGTGATGAGCTCCTTTTTACTCTTCCCTGTTACTTTGGCGTCTTTCGCGAGCGTTTTCAACTCGTCGAGTAATAAGAGCGAGGACGCTTCTTCCAGCGTGGTTATCTGATCCATTTCCTCGGCGAATCTGAATTCGCCGTCTTGGCCCAAGACGAAACCCGTATCAACGGGCACGGTGTCATCTGTGGAATTTCCATCCTCAGATGCCGATGGGAGCTTGCGAGCGCGGCGCAGTTCAGCTACTACTCGAGGCATGTCTGCGATATCCGAGTAGTAGCCCAGGCGATTGACTCGGTGCCAGGCAGAGGTCTTGCGGAGGAATAGACGCACATACCTACACAGTCAGCTTCAAAGTCTAACAAGTATGACCCGGGTAGACATACAAATACTGAGACTCATAGTCCAGTTCTCGCCACTGCCTGAACACTTCCATCTCCGCCTTATCAAACAGATGGGCCTCTTCATCCAGCACAGTTTCCAGTGCCAGATTGAACGCATCCACGTAGATAGAACTCCGACCCTTCCGCCATGTACCATCCCTCAGTCTCTGCCGAAGGTCCGGCTCGTTCTCGTCAACTGCGCGCGAAGCTTCATATTCCTCGATTGCGCGATTGTCTGCCTGGATGGCAGGCAGGGACGACTCGAGTTCGGTTTGGCTGTTTGATGGGATTTCAGAGTCATCTCCAGCAGCCCCAACCCCAGCTACAGCAGGTATTGGATTGTAGTCTAGTCGCTCCGGCAGCGGTGTTTCAGAGGGCTTTATCAGCGGACTATCAGACGAGTCGGGACTGTCTTTCTCATCGCCGGTGTCAGTCTCTTCCTTGGTGGTTTTCCTACGCTTTGCGGAAGGACGAAGGGTGTCCCAGTAGTGCAGCAGGGACATGCTGCAACCCGAGCAGCAGCACTAACACATAGTCTGCAATGATAGTCTCTCCATCTGCATCTCGCTACTGGAAAAAGAACGTGACGCGGAAAGACACGAAGTCACCTGACCACTATATCCCGATTCGGACAAGCATCATGTGTACTTTGCACTGTTTGCACTGATGCTGATGTTGCGAAGCACAAAGATGAAGCACATGCAGTCAGCAGGGCCAATTCCATCGAATATTATCACATATCTCTCAAATATCATACCATATTCATAAGAATATCAAAATACAGACAAATATAGAACCATGGCCGATAACAGCGCGGTAAGAATCAATCCCAAACTGCCAGGAACCACTCCTGCACAGTACAACTCTCCGTCGCGATCCCCACAGGCGGAGCAGTTGCAACTTGCTCCGCTTTTGTTTTACTCTGTCTTGAATTTCTTAAATTTTGTCTCCATTAAACAAATTTACCTCAATTGACATCTACAATTCTATTTATTCTCTTTGTTTGACCGCTTTCAAGCATTAACTGAAATTGTCCCCTCCTACAGCAGGCAACAGCAACATCTCAACCTCAACCTAATCCTCCACCACAATCTACTACTTCTACTACCACCACACCCTTCCCTCCTCAGAACCAACAACCATCATCACAACCACAATCACACCCACCTCTTAACCCCGAAAAAGACAAAATCATGGCTTCCGACTCAGCTGCAAACACCCCCGGTGCCGACTCCGCCGCTGCAACTCCCTCCGCCACCACCGCCACCACCAACCAAGTGCGTCCCGGCGGCGCCCCGATTAGAAGATACATGAATGAGAAGATTGTGCCGCATCTTCTTGATGGAATGACGGTCGTTGCGAAGGAGCAGTGCGTATACCACTATCCCTTCTGATTGAATTCTATCCAGGCGAAGATTCTAGTAAGGATTGCGAGCTGACCGTGTCTATAACATGATAATAGACCACCCAACCCCCTCCGCGTCCTCGGCGAATACCTCATCCAGAAGAGCAATGAAATCGAACAGCAGGGTGTTTCGAAGACTCCGGAGTAGAGGTTACTTGTTTAAATTGACCATTGGTGCTGATCCATGATGTTCTACACGGGACGATCATCGAACCATACACGATCCCATACTATCTACGGTGGAATAAGGCTGGCTAAGATCTCAGTGGACGCATACATAAGAACATCATTATGTGCTGCTGTACGTGAAGCGGATACTTTCAAAGTTCATCTCATCTGCATAAGAAAAACAAGGAGGAGATGGACGGGTGCTGATCTGGTCTAGTCTACTCTAGTCGTTCAGCTTGAGACGCATCTCCGCACAGATAGACCGAAATGGTTGGATTTTGGACAGCTTTGACATCTGGAGAGGTTGCTCGCTCGCTAGCTATGGAATCTTGTTTCTTGGGGCAGCGGGTGAGTGTATCCTTGACTGTATGGTGCTATCTATTTGGCTCATCGGGTTGGAGATAATGCGGTTATGAGGTTATGATTTGAAAGGAAATGTACGATTAGCTTGGTGGCGAAATTTACGTTGTCTTGGGACTATCAGGCACGGGTTTGCTTATGGACTAGGCAGTCACTGGAGACTGCATGTTGCCTAGATACCAAACATCAGATAAGACTCTTGCTTACACGTCTATTTTCTATCTACGCCCCAAACCAGGGTCTAAAATTCTCCATGTAAGGTACGGAATGCTACAAGGGAGCCCAGCGAGAACCAATCTGAAACAGTACGAATTATTCCCTAGACCCAAACGCAACGGAAATATCTATGTAACAACAGATATCAAGCATGCTGCCCTGCAGTTAGCCATTGTGAGATGATTATGAAAAAATAAAGGAGAAAGAAAGAAGAAGAAGAAGAAAAAAGAACAAGAGACACCCGTAGATGTCCCTGCTCTCAACCTAGATCAATCAGAGCATCGTAGCATTCTGATATTCATATTTTCAATCAGTCTCAGACCGATCGAACCTACCTCAATCCCCACCCCTTCCATATGGCCGAATTATCGATCCCACCGGGGGAAAAAAGTACCGACGCCCGGAATTACAGGGTTCACTTGTTTGCTGCTGCCATAGGATTGGCTCTATTGCGAGAATTGGACTTCTTCCCCTGGCGATACTACAACGCAAACGCTATGGCGAACTGGTGCCGCGCGACACTGGTTGACCTCCCTGCAGACCGCCGGGTGCAGAGAGCGGGATCCAGGGCGTAAGCAATAGCCTCTGCAGGCTGAGCAGATTTATGGAAGCTTCTGGCCGAATACAATCGAAAGTCGTTACGTTAAGATGAGTTGTATAAGACGCAAAGACGCAAACAAAGGCGAACAGCTGACTAGCGAGATAACGACCAAGTTTCCGGAAGGGTTGAAGAGTGAAATGTAGCAGTGTGCTGAACCCATCTGACAATCCGAGGAATTACAACGTTAAAGTTCTTGTTCTTTCCCATGCCGCCAAATATTCCGGTGTTGCGAGCGAATTTAACAAAAGAAAACATCAGCGTGTGAGGAGTGCCGACGACACCACATAGGATTCTCCTTTTCTTTTTTCTTCTTATTTTTTCCCTTGGTTTTTCTTTTCTCTTTCGAAGATCGACTGGTCGCATAAACGGTGACATGTCGGTTTCGCCGGATGACATGTGAATGCGATGAAGACTTCTTCTCTCCATTTTCGACAAGACAACAGATGACGCCCCACCGTAGCCCGTTGAGCGCAATTCCATTCGAATGGGGGTATTGGGAATTAAAAAACCATTCCAGGAAATAGGGTAAGTAAGGGAATGTCACAGAAAACAAAAGGCGTGGGGAGAAAAATTGAAAGAAGCGCGGAGGCTAAACAGACCCATCACTGGACGAGGTTACGTGCTCTGGGCCTTGTTCCGACCGTCCAGATCAATCAAAACTTCACCTACCTAGTGCTGTAACGGTCGTCACGGGGGTCATAGGAACGGCCGCCGCCGCCAGCGCTGCTGCCGCCACCGCCGCCTGCGTAGGCATCACGAGCAGGAGCTGCGGAGCCGTAACTCGGGGGGTTAGCATCGCGGTCATAGTAGCCACCACCGCTGCCGCCACGACGCTCCTCACGGCGGTCGTCACGACGGTCGTCGCGGCTGTAACGGTCCTCGCGGCCACCGGAAGCATAGCGATCAATGCCACCGCTGCTGCCACCACCGCGGTAACCATAGTCATCACGGTAGTCACGGCGGCCACCGTAGTCACGGTAGTCACGACCACCATAGTCGCGGCGGTCGCTGTAGGAGTCATAGCGGCCATAACGGTAGTCGTCACCACGGCGCCAGCTACCACCGTAAGGACCACGACGATCATCATAGCGATCGCCACGGCCGCCACGGTGACCTCCACGGAAATCTAACAAGATTGAACACACATAAGCCATATATCAATATACAGAGGGAGTCTGGACAATAACTAACCACGCTTGGGAGGACCAAAGTACTTTCCGGGAGTCGGGGTTCTGGGACGGCTACGGCGAGCCTTCTCGATGCTCAGGGTGCGGCCTTCGATGACCTCGCCCTGGAGACCCTCCTTAGCGGCATCGGCCTGCTCGGCAGTAACCATCTTGACGAAACCGAATCCACGAGACTCCTTGGTGTGGGGGTCGACCATGATCGAGCAGTTCTCGACATCACCGTACTTCTCGAACAGACGCGAAATATCCGACTCGGTCAGACGGGGGTGGATACCAGTGACGAACAGGTTGGATCCAGTGTTGATAGCACCCTCCTCGTCATCGAGGTTCTTGCGGGGATCAATGGGGGCGCTATTAATAAGAAGCTTGAGTCAGTCTGGCTGGCGTCTGGTGACAGCTAGCTAGCTAGCTAGCCAGCTCTGCACGTAAACATACCGATCATCGACGCGACCGTTGGGAGAACGGCTGCGGGTGCGATCAGCACGAGGCTCATCGCGAGGAGATGCGCTGCGGTCGCGAGCGAAACGGGGCTCGTCTGAGCAGCAGCAAGTCAGCATTGTTGTGATGATGTTACCGGGGAGATCAGCTGAGCTGGCGAGGCAAGATGACCGGTTGACATACCGTCGTAGCGACCGTTCTCGTTATCGTACTCTGTAGCCATAATGACGGAAATCGAAAAGACGAATGAGAGAGCTGAGTGAGGTGAAAAGGGATGAGAAGGCGCGCGCGCGACGCAGACCGAGGAAAGTGCTAGTGAGAGGCAGAAAAATTCAACAACCGAACCCGATAGCTATCCGACGCGGATATCAGAAAGCCAGGAAGCTAAGATGGCTCTGATTTCCGAGAGGTTAGAAAGAAGAGGAGGAGAAGGGGGATAAGGGAGGAAGGCAAAAAGGATGGATGGAGGAAGAGATGGAAATCGGTGGTGATGATGAAAGAAGGGGGAGAAACCGGGAAAGAAAGTCGAGCGCGGCGAGTCTTCCATAAGCCATTCTGGACCGCCCGCGGCTCTGCCGTCGTGCCAAGGCCGTTCTCCATACCAGCCATTCAATACTGTCCACACTATGGAGTGAGGCTATATGTCTCTACAATAGTATGCGAATTGAATGCGAAGTGACATGATTACATTCTGTAAAGTTCATTACCTGAGAATGGCTACTGTTATAATCCACCAAATTCCCAGTTTCTGACCTACCCAACGCCTGGCCAGCCTATGTTTGTTCCCTCAGCAGCAACAGCAGCAGTAGTAGGGAGTCAAGGAAAGAAAAGCAAACATGCAGAAAGGGGAAATCCGGGTAACGCAAGAAAAGAAATGATGTGTAGGTGTGTAGGGAATGTTCGCTCAAAACCAATGATGATATCTCCGCCATCTGTACGTCTAACTACCTGAATCCGCGCCAGCGTCGTCGAGTCCGATGTACCTTGACGCTCTGTTGCGTCGGTGCATCGCCTCCATTTGCTGCTTCGTTCGATCCATTGACCATCTGTCCTTCCAGCTCTTCATCTTCAACCAGGTCTTTTAGTTCCTCCTCGTCTAGCTCACTGAGCTCCTCGCTCATCCCTCGCATCACATCTCGCCCGGTCCACCGCTCCTCGTGGATGGTGGTACCAATGGGATCGAATGGTTGCATATACCACTGGATGCCTCCTTGCGCCAACGGGTATTGTTGATCACCTTTGAAACTGGGTGGGGGCGTCAACGGCCCATTTTGGTTCTCCACTGGTGGCTTGGATGGCTCAACACTTTCTTTCTCCAGATTTCCGTTTTGATCAGGGACAGATGGTTGATTCTCAATTGTAGGCTGTACAATTGTGGGCGCCACATCTGCACTTTGAGGCTCTGTATCTTGCATATCAGCAGGTGCATCCTCCATGTTCGTGTCCTGCTGTACTTGAGGCTCGGTAGATGCCTCTGCGGGTTGGGACTCGGCCGCACTAGCCTCAGCTGTTGTAGCTGTGTTCCCAGGTACGTCGGCAACACCAGCACTATCTTCAGGCTCGGATTTAGCAAGCACATCCACTTCCTCAACCTTCTGCTCTGTACCATTTGGTAGTGCAGACGCTTGTTCATCGTTGACTGTTTCTGGCGCATCAACTTCGGAGCCCCGTCTGGACATGACACTATTCTCTAGCATGAGATCGAGCTCCTTAAGCTCCTGTTCAAACGGCTTGCGGTTTAATTCGCTCTCCTTCCTGATCGCATCTTCTAGCGAAGGCTGAATGGCTTTTATGATCCGCTTGGCAAGCTTTCTCTTCTCGCGTTGCTCTAGGCTGAGTTCCGGTGCACGACCACTAATCTGCATCTGAAGCTCAGCCGTATCTCCAGCCGGTTGGACTCCAATCTCCGTAGTGAAGACATGGGCCAGGTCAGCGGAGAAGGTAGCAACCGACGGATAAAACCGTTCTTGCAGCTTGGTTCTGATAGACGCCAGGCCTTGTCGAAAGATACCTTTGCCATCAAGCCTGCAGCGATGTTAGACCACGTGAGGTAAAGTAAAAGAATCATGCTTACACTTGAGCTTTCTCGAATATTGGCCAGAGCAGAGGGAAAATAGGGAAGTAGACAGTGTCAACAATGCTTTTAAGCGTCTCCACGTCCTTTAACTTCTCCCTCTCGCGGTTCTTCACTTCATCACACAGCATCCTCAATCGATCCAAATCATGATAGAGTCTCTCACCAAACTCAATACGTCTTTGTAGTCTCTTGCTCCCAGGGACTCCCATAGCAACATAGTCCCTCCTTGTCATCTCCATGGAAGAGAAGGTTTCCAGCTGGAGTTGCAAACGTTTCAGAAGTGCGGCTCCCCGCCTGGCTTCTCGTTTCAGCGTCCAGTACTTGCAAGCATCCTCAGCATACTGCTTCCTTTGTCGAACCCCGAAGCGCTGCAGTGAGGCCACAACCGAGTTCAGCACGACCTGGGGAATCACAGGAGCCCCCGACGGTAACTTCCAAATAGTCTTGGGTACAGTCGGTCGCTTCCGCTTATTACCGCCAACAGTCAGGGTAATGCGTGGTGTATGCATGCGATGTCCGTCGTCATCCCCGTGGTCGCAACCGAGAGGGTGTGAAGGCTCCAAGGAAAGAGCCGCCGCCTGGCTGTCTCCCCATCGGCGGCCTTGCATTGTAGTCCTGTAATACTCTATTGCCTCAGCCGTAGCAACATCTGTCCCATGCTCTCTGCGCCATTCAGGGGGTACGTGCTTGTCACAGAAAGCTTTGAGTAAATGGGAGTCCATGACCGCCGGGGTTCCATGTCCTGACTTCATCTTCAGGTAAAGCTGAGCCCTCCGTGCGCAGGTAACATGGAACGCAACGAAGCAGTTCTTGTTACTGCACTGTATCGAGGCACCCATTCTCTGGCGACAAATGTAGCAGTGAAGCTTCCAGCGACTGCGAGGCACTTTCTCCACATCCGTGATCGGTTCCATAAGAGAAGGATTACCAATAGAGACCTCAGGGATCCAGATCGCACACAGGAGATGAGACCACTTCGAGGAGGTAGTCTGCTTGAAGGCACCTTCGGTATTTGGACAGAAGATGCAGTTGACAGACCCTCTTCCAATCAGCTGACACTTGCGACATAGCCATTGTCCCTCCGGGATGAACGGAACCCCGTAGCATTCCTGATGGACTGCCAAATCACAACCATCGCAGAAAACAATCGCATTGGAATTCTCGCAGTCACCATCGTCACAAATAGCACATTTGCTGTCCTGTTCCTCACCTGGCGCAGTCTCGCCATTTACCGCCGCGGCAGAGCTCGAACGAGGCCGCTGCGTCTGGGGAGGCTTGGGATTAGGCTTCGGTATACGCTTCTCTAAGACGTGCCACTCCTTCTCGATCTTGGTCATGGTAATCTCAAAGACTGCCGGCTTGATCGGCTCCAGCTGGTCTTCTCTTCGCTTCGCATTATATTCCTCCAGCCACTTTTCATCTTGCTCATCCATATCATATTCCACCCGGCCAACGGCAGCATTGACCTCACCTTCTGAAGCGACAGGGTTCGCCAAATCCAGATCATCTTCCTGGGCACCCTCTGTCATGCGGATCAACCGACGGTCATGGCGGAGGAATAGATCGCTCTCTTGATACCCTACACTCGCCATAGTGCGGTCAACATAGTTCTGCTGACCCACTCCAGGTTGGTCATAGAAAGTGAACGGGTCGCGTATGCGGAATGAGGGCTTCGGTAACGTCAGCCTCTCGCGGGGATTCGGACCTGGGGGCGGAACGTTCTTCTGTTGATGTGTGATGCCCAAGGCGTTGAGGATGGCCTCAGGTCGACGAGGAGGGCGGCCTGGTCGGCGCTTGATAGGAGTCGGTGACGAGCCATTCGTATGTGCGCGTATCAGCTCTGCTATTGGATCCTTCTCGTTCGTCTTATCGAGGCCGTTAGGCGACAGAATATGAGCAATCGATGATGTGGGAGGCGGGCGATCCACTTCTTCTGCATCGAAGACTGCAAATTTCGCATCAATATCTAGATCCGGATGGAATTCCTCCCAACCACGCTCCTCTCGCGGCTTGTAACCATCCCCTTGTTGTAGAGCAAGGGCAGCCGCCGTCGACGACCCAAAACGGCCCCGGTTCTGACTCTTCTCTCTTCTCAGACGCGCGGAGGGAGGTGTCATCGGGACAGGAGGTGGCGGCGGCGGAGGAGGCAGTTGTACAGGCTGAGGTTGAGGTGCTGACTCTGGAAGTGGAACTGGGCCATTGCGACCACGAGAGTTGGAAGAATTACGTCTGACTGCCGGTGTGGGCTTGGGTTTCGGCGTATCCTTCACCTCCAGCTCAATGTATCTCCCACCACCACCCGGTCCGCCAGGGACATACTTTCGCTTTTTGAGGGGAGGGCCTTCGTTGGTTACCGATGAGTCGGAGCTCGAGGGAGGTTTCAAGGTCACTCTAGTCTGGGATCGGGAGGGTCTGCTGGGCGAGCGGTGGCTCTTGGGCCATGAGAGGGGCGCCATAGTTTCAAACAAGGCGGGAATAAGCGCGAACAGAGACGGATAGGAAGTTCAACTAGAAAGGAGTTGGTGATAAAGCGACGCCGAGCGGTGCCGCTCAGCCGCACGTTCTAGGATTCCAGACAAACGCACGTCGCGCCGTAAAGCAGGTGGAAAATGGGGGTTAAACGATCGGAAATATACAGAGCATGGCTCCTCCAAGCCGCCAAGGTCGTAAAAGACAGTACTCGACAGTGAATGTGGGCGACAATAGAGAGGGGGGAAGACGCGCAGGCCGCGAGAGGGCGGGAAGTTGACCAGATGCTGTGCTTATGATAAGCAAAGCAACCCGCTTGGCTAGCCGTCGGGCCCCAAAGGCGGAGAGTCTCAAGCCGCTCTCCACATTCGCGCTGCTTCCCGCCGACCTTCCTGTGTCTGTCAGTTCCGTCCCCTCTTGATTACTTACTTCCCAAGAGCTCTCTCCCCATTCACAAAGCCCACTTAGTTGTTCTGTTTACCGTCTACTGGTTAGATAGTTAACAAAATGAGTGGCCCCGGTGAAGAGCGGTAAGTTTAACCACCCACTCTTTTTTTCCCGACTGAATTCCTACTATACTCCCCAGATCTCTAGACTAACAACAACCCACCCGTGGGTATGCATTCTAGATGGCGCGGAGGTCGCCCATACGACCAGAACCGCCACTCGGCGCAAAGACACTCCAACGCCCGCACCATGAGCGCGCATGGTGGGTCTCGGGGTGGACAGAATAATTGGGGAGATTCGCGTGACCAGTTCTCTTCCGGGCCGCAGCAGGAGCAGCATGTCCCCGTGCAAGGCTTTAATGCCGCGGAGGCGAAAGGAGCTCTGAGAAAGGGTAAGCTTAGGCCAGCTTATAGGCGAGGATTGGCACCAGCTAACATACAGCTTGCGCTGGACTCTAGGACCGGGAGGTGCGTATACCACCACGGCTCATCCGAAATCAATACCTACAACTACCTATCGCTAACCCTCATCTCCTCTCCAGAACCGAGACCTTACTACTACAAACCACAAGGAAAGGACGTGAACAACCGCGCGAGCGGACCCTGGGGTGCAAAACGTACGTGATCACATCCCCAGGAAACAACAGCACGAAACAAACGATCAATGACCTAACTCGAACAACGACGTATACAGCCAACCAAATGGCAAACGGCAAGGATTTCTTCCTCGAGCTTCGGAAGCAAGTGACGGCGCTGCAGCAGGGTGGCACTGTTGCAGGTGGTTGATGGAGATTGAAGGTTGAAATAACTGTACAAAGTCGACCGATGCTGGAAACTTCAGGCGAGGGTCGGGAGATCTGAAGAGCCCGAAATGCTTGTCGCTGCTGGTGGGGTGCGGAGATGAGCTTTTACCGTTGGTGATAGGCTGATAAGCTGTCACCTCTAGAAACGGGGATTGGAATAACGGTCTCGTCACAGACATACTGGTGCTGTCATGAGGAGAGCCGATTTGCATTATGTGTGTCTTGTGTCAAGGTAGCGCCTTTCGCATGGCTTGCGAATTAGTAGTTCATATGACATGGAATGAAATGTACATGATTATACGGAGTCCTTGACTTGTAGATAGTTGCGAGTAAAGCTCACTAGTAGTGGTGATACATGGATTGTGATCTATATACAGCTCATAAAAATACACACTCGAAGAAGAGTGAAGTGGTAACAGCATCATCCCCCAAATCTATCTATTGTACAAAATGATCCTCAGCTCTCTCCCACCCAAAAGGCCCAAGGACACCACCATCTCCCTCCTCTCGCGGATCCAGCGACCACTTCCTAATAGCCCGAGAGGTAAGATTCGTGCGCCAACCCGCCTCAAACATCTCCATACCCGCCCAAGCAATCATAGCAGCATTATCCGTACACAAGTACGGCGGGGGAGCAACCAGCCCAACGTGCCCGAACCCGCGGGCATCCAGCCACGAGCGCAACACAGTCATAAGGTACTGGTTCGCCGCAACACCACCACTAACAACAAGAGTCTTAACCTCCTTCTCCGGCCCTTGTTTAGCAAGACTTTCCAACGCCATGATAGTGCGCGACGCCAGATGCTCAAAGCTAGTCCGCATTGCCTCGCGAGCCAGAGCTATCCGCTCCTCATGACTGATCGTTTGACCGGCTGCCTCGCGAGCGGAGAATATCCTCGCCAGCGTGCTGCCTATGAAGCAGAAGCTGTATTGCAATTGACGGCTGTGGGCCCATGGCTCTACGAAAGACCAGCCCCAGGGGTTTTCGCTTTTGCGTGGGAGGAGTTCATCGTGACGGGATTTGGGAGCCTGGTAGTCGGCGTAGTCGGCTTTGCCGTTGGGGAAGGCGAATTGTTCGAGCAACTTCCCGTACATGGTGCTCTTTGACGTCTGGAGGAGGTAGGGAGGGATGATTTCGCGGGAGGCTTTGTCTAAAGCCTCTCCGAGGGCTCGGTCCACTGTTGATGCCATGATTTCGTGATCGGTTATGGAGGAGGATTTGACTAGCATTGTATGGCCGCCGGAGGCGAGGATGGAGAGGAAGGGAAACTCGGGGGTGATGGGTTGCTGCGACGCCGCGACATCCTGGCTATTATCTTGTGCCTGGCTACGGTTCATGCACGATACAAGACGAGGAGTCAACAGATGAGCCTGCATATGATGAACTCCGACGAACGGCACCTGCCATGCGACGGACAGCGCCTTTCCTGTATCTAGCCCAACGAAGAGGTTCGAGCGGAACCCCGGTCCCCTAGTGGCGCATACGAAGTCGGGTTTCCTGCGCAATTGCGTATCACTTGAGACATTTATCGTTTGGTGCTTTTCGAGCTTCGCGACGGGTAGATGGGCGAGTGCTTTATGGACGAGACTTGCGATATTCTCTTGGTGGGATTCGAGAGCCACGACCGGGTGGATGCCCTGGTATGCGCTGGTGTCGCAGGTCACCTTGTCGAGGAAGTGTATTTGAACGGCATTTGATTCCTTCTCGACGATTGCTACCGATGTGTCGTCGCTGGATAGATCAGAGCAGTTAGCTATGCTGTCGCGCAAGTATTCGGGCGGATTGGATTAGACACACCAGGACGTTTCGATGGCAAGTGTGAGCAGCCCGCGGCGGCTTCGAGGTAGAAGACTCCACCTCGGAGCAGTACACAAGCCTTTGCGTAATGCTGAGGTGGAAACTCTGCTCAACATTGAAGAGGATTTGAAAGACAAGCGAAGGAAGGCTGAGGCAAGCTTTCTGGGTCTGGCTTGTCGGCGGGAAAACTAAAGACTAATATCGTATCGGGATTCTCCTCGCACGGGCCATCGAAACCCGGGGCCGCCGCCGCTGTTACTATAAATCGCTACGGTCGGTCTGAAGTGGCTAGGATCACCGCTGGCGAGAATTCACCATAAGTAGGTCTACTAGTTTACTGCTAGCACTAAACACAATGGAGCCATAACGATCGTCATTGGGGCAGCCCAAGATAGGCCCTATGCTAAGTACAAAACGCCGGACCGTATCATCACATCATGAACATAACAGGTATCATATACACGCTGAGTCTATCCTCAATCCACCAGATGCATCCATCCCAGTGTTTTCGCTGCACTCAAGGACATCCAATGCCCCGCGCCGCCAGACATACCCCGAATTGTCGTTGCGCTCCAGATGCCGGATCGACTTATCACCTTGAGTTGGAGCGGGGAGGGTACAGAAACCGTGGCGCATTAAAAGGCTCTTCGGATTTCTGGCCCAGCATCCCGCCGATCTGCTTTTGGCTGTAATTTTGGTTGTAGCGACATCAGCCTCTCCTTCATTCACGAACCATCCAACGTCGCTCCTCGCGTGACAACTTGGTGTAAGTGCCATAGTACTCCTCGGGATTCTCGATGGGCGTGACACAGTGGACAGTGGGAGTGCCCTTGAACTGAATCCGCTTTTCTGCGTGACTTGAGGCGCCCGAATGTTTCTTGAGGATACTCTTAGACGAGCACGAGTTGTTGTAGGCGTAGCTTGGTACTTGGAAAGACGTGAACCGCTTTGCACTCGGGCTTGCAGGGGAAATCGGAGTGCGCGGTATGGCGCTGGGAGACTTGAGGGACAGAGGCTGACGAGAAGTATTTTGCGCAGCGGAGGTGCACAGTGAAAGCTTCGGCCTTGCGTTGCGAGCGATCATTTTGACTGACACTGATGGGTTGGAACGATGATTGAATGCAAAAAGATATCTTGTTCTCTGGGTGGAAGAAACAAGTAGAGAATAGGCGCAAGGAGCAGCAGCACAAGATTATCAAGGAAAACCACTTTGATCAACAGAGTGTTTCCAATGAGGCAGGCGTGTAAATGATACTATTATTACTCGATGACGTGCCAAACAGGAAGCTGCAAAACAGATAGTCGCCTGGACCAGCCAAACGAACTACTCAAGGATGAAAATAGAACGAAAACAAAAACCCAGCAAAGCCCAAAACAAATTGTGTGTCAAGAAAAGAGGAAGAACCCTTAATCCCCGGGCTAGCTGGGCGGCTATATAGTTGTTCGACCTTCATTGCTGGGGAGAAACCCTGGTGGTGGGGAGGGCGAAGGCGAGGGGTTGACCTGGCGATGGATGGCAACCTATTTTAAGAAACTTTGGGTCAGGAGGTGACGCTTTGCACCCATCCATACTCCATGATTCGTTGTCGCTCAGCAGGGACCTCGAGACTAGGTGTGATGAAGGGGTGACTTGTGCCTTTTCGTGCAGCTGCTCGGCGCTTAGAATGTGATGAACACTAACCATTGGCTGCCGGCCGCCATCCCCCTCGTCGACCACCCGGCATCTTCACAATTTCCCGCAGTCGACGATCGGAAGCTCCCCTCACCTTGAAATGGACAAGCATTCTGCAGAGTTTGAAGTGCCGAATAAGATGGTTGTTTGCCGTGGGCTTCGGAGCACACATGGGCGAGCGTGTGGGACATTGACGGCACTTGCATATGGGCACACCGACATCACACCCCACGACCGAACCATTGGTTCTCATCGTTCGTATCCCAATGATCTTCCGTGCCATTCCAGATGGAAAGGGCAAGATGCCGGCTTGCCAAAGTGTTGACGATCGTGCCAACCAGCCAATACGAGTGATTGTGGCTCTGGAATGGCTCCCAGAGCCTAAGTCAAGGTTTCAGGCGAGCCCGGTCTTTCCCATGATCAAATTGAATTATGACAATGGTAGGATAACAGGGGACACCAAGGCATCAGTGTGGGGTGGCTCCAGGCAGGGTCGAGGCTATCTTGGGGTCCGGACCGCCTGGTGTAAAAAACTCTTGCGTGTACCGTAATCAATCGGGTTTGTGATTTGGAATGAACCACCTTTTCCAATTCGATGGCGATTTCAAAGAAGCCGCTAAGATGTCGGAAATCATTGAAACAACCAAGCCAAGAGGGCCATCATCCGTTTTGACTTCTGTCATCAGAAGTCACCCTTCGCAGCAGAGTTCGGAACCGATTCTTCGGCACCGGAGTAATCGGCTGTAACTCGATGGTGGAGGATCCGCTGTTGCGGCGAGAGTTGTCTTCATCCAAAACGTACTTCCATTGCCCATCGGCCGTTTCATGTCGATTAAGTTTGTATCGTTTGTCCAGATCGTTAAAGTGTTTCTCTCGATCGTCTTCACTCCAAGCGTATGTTCCCTTGAAATCGTTCAGAACTTGTCCATGAATGACCCAAGGGATGATAGAGCCGATGGACCGTGGGATGCGAGGAAATCTGAAACGACCTCTCCTGGTAAGGAAAACCGAGGCGACAACGCACCCATCGAAGACCACTATGATTAGAACATACATGAATGATGCAAACGATGGGACCACCGCCCAGGACATGTTGTAGATAATACCGTCGCTGATCCGAGCAGGATAGTCTTGAAGTTGGAAGTAAGCATCCCGTTCAAGCGATAGATCAGTTGCAAAGATTGTCCGGTAGACATTGCGGGTGGCGGATTCGAGAACATTTGCGGTAATGACACTTGTATTGGTGTCCAGAATGCGGTAGAGATTTGCCGTGAGGGTGCCAAACCAATCAGCGCTGCTTGCATTGTTGGTTTCTAGATGCGAGCCATTGTAAGTGACGCTTAGAGGGTTTGATAGCCTGAGGTTGTAGTTGGCCAGGTTTGTCGTCCCGTTGCGTAGAATCGCATCGTCTGTCACAAAGGTGCCATTGAGAGGGACATGGTACTGTATGTACCCATCGGAGTTGAAACCAACGGAGAAATTCTGCATAATGAAAAGGGATTCGCAATACAACGCGACTGCGGTATCGGGTGAGGTTTGTAGATAGCCACCTCCGCTGGGGTAGGCAACCACGACGACCGAGGGCTTCTGACAGCCACTTGATTGTGCAGATGTCGGTGAAGCGAAGAAGCGAACCGTCAAACTGTTCCCTTGGCTAGCCTCAGTGTCTTGGATTGTGTCTATTTGGCACACCGTATCTGATTCGTTGAAAGGCGAGTATTGCCAACTGGCTACATTTGTTACCGGGTCCTCGGAATAGCTGTCGGCGATCGAAAGCTGCTTGCATACTAGATCAGCACCAACGCCCCGAATGGTGCCCCCAACGAGCCATTCGGATGAAGTGTCCGTCCATGCAGGGAGAAATGAATAACTGGATGTGGTCCAAGAGAGCACCGAGGTACCACTATAGATGCTGCTCTTGATGGTGTCAAGTTCGGGGCCTATTGGCGAGGCTTGTCTTATGGCGATTGACGCATAGCTGTAGTTGGACTTCATATCAGCATCCGCCCTCGTCGGACCAAGCTCGTGCCGAAAAAGCCCGCTGGCCAATATGCTCATTGCGGTATTAAACAAACAGGCCACTCCTACGAGTCCCAGCAAGAAGTGGCGGTAACTGAACCACTTGAAGAGTGAAGCAATAGGATTCAGTGATCCGTACTCGAGCAGTAGGGAAGACGCAGCGGATGCGCCCCCGGCCTGAAGGACAGACCATGGTTCCAGAACGCTCAGGTATCGGTATATCGAGAGGCATAATGCCCTGATAATGGAAGCGAGTGCAGACGGAATGAGTTGGAACAACGCCGCCAGACTGTCTGAGGTAAGATATGTCAAGGAATGGAATGCCCCATCCTTGGCACACAGCACGAAAATTGTCACAATACCTGCAAATACCGCTATGAAGAGGAATATTTCAAGAGCGAAAATTGGTATAAGGAGGAAATGAGGTCTTGGATCGGGTTTGCCTTGGAAGATCTGTCTTTGAGACCGAGGAACTAAACAGTGTCAATACGTCTGCTTTATGAGACCCTTACCGAGGCAAATCACAATCAGTGCGAGACTTACCAGCAGATGGCTCAATACAAATACGGGGAGGGTCAGAAGCTTGCTGCCAGCGACAAGTATAGTTCTTGAGAATGGTCCTCAACTGTCTGGTTGACAACTGATCTAGGTTCAGGTGAGACAGACACGAAGCATCAATGACATCGGCCATGATACCACACATGGATGCGATAGAAGCTGGGTCACTTCGAAGCATATTCGGGCGATTTGGGTAGGTGTAGGCCAAATACAAAACCATTACCACTCCAAACAGAAGGATTGCCTCGGAGAGGAAGGACTGTACCGGGCCAACAATGATGGCCATCTGATGTGTCACATGAGAAGCTTGCACATAGTGTGACTGACTGGTGAGATCGAAGATCCTGTTCATCAACGGTACAAAAGCGCCTTGAATGCTAGTTTCCAGCTTCGAGATAAGATCACGATGAAGTGTGGATGGTCTCACTGGCTTCTTATTGAACGTGGAAGTGCCATTGGTGGAGGCCACCTCTTGCAAGATTATGCCTTTAAAATGGGTAGTATTGAGAGAAGCTCTTGACACCTCTGTAGTCGAGTTCGGATGCAGATCAACGATTGAAAGCGAACCATTTACTTGCACTGAGATGCCAGCTTCCGAGGTCAGATAGACAAGCTTGCAGCCAAATCCATTGACCTGATGGGTGTAATCAGAGCTCGAATAGTCGGATTTCTGGCGATCAAGTTCACTGGATTTGTTGAGATTGACGTCGACCGTCAGTCCGATTAGGTCGAAAGAAGCACACTGCTTGGTAATACTAGTCGTGGATGCGTTCGGCTGCCAGTGTGAAATCTGCACAGATGAGTTTGTCGGCGGTATGGTGATTTCCTCGCTAAGTTCCAGGGTGCAATTATCGGTTGTTGACACGTCGTAGAGGTTCCAAATCAAGGGTTGTCTAGTGGGAGATCCGATACCGAATGAAGAAGTATTGGAGGATACATCAATGGTTACGGCATCTTCCACGTCGATCTCAGTACAGGATAACTCTGTCCAATAGATGGATTGCGTGAGTTCCCACATTTTCGTGTCGTATTGAACATCTAATGGTATAGCCACCGGTGCCATAGCGTACTTGCTTGATTCCGGCTGACTATATGACAGGTCCCGATGGTCTCGAATGCTGGTCGTGTTCTGGATGCTGTTATCCACCAAGGATCCCTGCTCTTCAAGGTTCACGATAGTCGGCCATGTTTGAAGGTGCTGATTTTTGTAGACGGTAGCATCATCCATGTTGAAAAGACTACTTTGCAACGACGGAAATACCAATTGCAGGAGGATACTCAGGATTGAGATGCAGACCGCAAGCCAATGGCGGTTCCTCATTGCAAAGAATGGCGCGGTTGTATAGTGACCGAATTCGTAGTTGAGAAGTAGCACATCAGCCGGAGCCCCTTGGGGTCTTGATAGTTGGAAGTACGGTTCGAGCCGAAGAGCGTCATATTCAACGAGGGACCATAAGACTGCGATGATCATACTCAGGATCGTGGGAACGTAGGTGTAGGCGAATTTTCGGGTGTCGGTGAGTTGGTCAGTCGAGGTAAAGAGACTGAGGCTGCCTTCATTGTTGCCCAGTTGTCGAAGAAACTCAGTCACCAACAGCATGAAGAACATGAGGCAGGCCAACGGAATCAAGTATCGTCGGCGCAAGGTCCGCGGAAGCCATCCTGAAGTCCGGATCTGAGGAGCATCGCGGGTAAGCTCTGTTGTCATCGTTCCTCGGTCCTTCACATCTGTCAAAGTTGCCTAGCATAGATCGCCGGAGGGATATGGCTGGTATCAATAACCAGTCACCGCATTCAACCGCGATTCGACATGGCTGGAGGAAGTGTTCAGGAGTGAGGCGCTCGAGAATTGGGGAGGCACAAAACGGTCACTTCAGGGTTGCCCATCGACGGATATCGCAGCTGATTGACTTGTCGACACAGTGTGATGGAAGAAAAGCGGTATTCAGGGTCCTCTTGTTCCGATGATGCGGCTGGTTGCGCGAGGATCCGGGCTGGGCGGGAGGAGAGTCGATGAGGAATAAGATAAGAAACGAACCGGGTCGTGGTGCTCTGGAAGGCGACGAGCCCCGGCGCCAAAACCATTTTAGAAAAATAGCCAGTTTCGGGGGTGGGCAACTTGGCCCGTTTGGGATTAATTTATTGCACTGGGGCCTATTGGTACGTGTTCCGGGTGGAGCGCCCACTTAGAGACTTGGGAGGAGAGGGGGTTGACTGGTGATGCGATCCGCTTCGCAGCCCGTAAAAAGGCCACCAACCTCGCCTTACGATCCACTGCATTTGCAGCAGGAAATCTGGCTAAAGACTTCTAGTCCCCTTTCGACGCGGGATGAGTGTTGTGATTTCACGGGCCAGTCTTTCCCTTCTGCCGTCAGCAGTCTGCATCTCGGTGTACTCGCAGCCCAATCAGTCCAATAACTTTCCAGTAATAGTGGGTCATGGCCCTGGTTGATCACTTTGACTGTGACAGCCCTGGAGGATATCCAGGTATAGGCATGATCGACGGTCAATAAATTGCATGATGGTGCTCGCAAGAGGTGCTGCAAAGGGTTCAGACCTTCAAGATTAACAATGGGGACACTTGAGTGATGGTGGACAGGTGGAGGACACTTGCCTTGGCCGAAACTTGGCGAGGGAGAAATGACGAATCTCTTTGGTAGCGCTCCAAGGCTTGGTATTTTTAGCCGCCCTGTGCCCCACCGAGAACCGTCCCTGTTTTCTTCCCAGCGACCTGGTCATCTTCTTTTACGCATATACTATGTAGATATATCAACCTACCTACAAAGTCTTTGCATCGAGGAGCAGTAGGGTCACGGCTTTCTCTTTCTTGTCTAGATTTGACAGTAACAGCACACTTTGGGCCTGGGATGATCACCTGAGCAGCAAGGCAGCAAGGTCTGTCAGCATGCCATTCGCCCGACTGCTGATAAGCTTAAATTATTCTGCATTGAACCTCAGCTTACAGCCTATTAGAAGATCTTGCACAACCTGAGTATAAGCTGTGAGTCGTACCCATATTACAGACAGGATGCTTAGTGGGTCTACGATCAGCCAACCTACCACTTGACGCTCGTGCTCGCAAGAAGGTACTAGTAGATACAGAGGTGATGATAACCCAGCAATTTGTTTGTGCAATTTGTTTGTCAATACTATTCAGAATGTTCATTGGAGTTGGTTTCTATCCGACACAGACATCCCGTTGTCACGCTTTCTTAAACTTGTGCAAGCACTTAATTCATTACATGTTATGGGAAACCTACAATAATAGAAAATTTACGTAGTGCCAAACACAGCTGACGGATATGAATGATATCAAAATCATGTTCTCGAGCTAGTAATATATGACGGGTCATATAAGGTTTAATGTATAGCCTGCGCACACTTCTGATAACCGATAGTAGAGCTCTTCACTACTAGATCTTATCAACGGAACCCTTGAAGATGAGTATATCTGGTGGAGACCTCAGGGTCTACGGCCGAACCCCTATTTATTTCGAGAACTATCAGCAAGAGTTTATCTTGACAGTAGCTTTAAATCCGGGCTTTGCCTCAAGAAAAACCAATACAACTGCTCGGATATATGGGGTGTATCGAGAAAACAAATATAGTCTGCATAAAGCCTACTGGGTTGTTCGTAGTGCCCAGGTTGGTTTAAGCCAGAGAACTGCTACCTAGTAGAACTCTTCAGATATTACCTATTTACTTTATGGGCTGTATACAGTAGACTGGCCGACATTATACAGTGCGGTCCCAAATATACTGGGTCTATATGCTACATCATAATATGAGAGCATACTCAATGGGTGTTGTTCAAAAAGGGGCCAATTTACAGATTCGAGGTATATGTCGTAGCCAGCAGTTACGCTAAGATGGCTCCGATCGGCAAACATGAAAAGAGTGAACCAACTCTCCACTGTACCAAACGCATTGCATTGACTAAGTCCCCCCTTTTCATATTGTAGAGCGATAGCACAAGATCAAGAAAGAAATAGAGAATACAAACATTGATGAGGAAAAGAGTTGTTGTCAGTGTAGATCGGCGAAGCTTTCGGTCGAAGGAATTAGCGCATGGTAGGAACCAATAAAGCGCGATCGAGACGCACTTGGCTCTCTGGGCGTCACTGCCGGTACTACTATGATCACCATCTCACTCAATGTACTCCGTACCTGTCGCTAATTTAGATACGAACTTCTGCAACGGTTGAACTCCAGCCTTACCCGCCATGGTGGCTGAAACGAAGCAGAGCAGTGGCAGCTCGATCCGGCCATCGGTTCTCTTCGGATACGATGGATCCTGGATGAACCGCCGCTAAATTCGGGCCCAGACCAGAGTGGCTCTCAAAAGAGGTAATACTGCGTGTGACCTACCTCGGTGTGGTCCATAAGTGATTAGTAGTTTCTCCATAACTTCTTCGAAATCGTTAGAGCGTTGATGGTTGCTGGACAGAGTGATGGGTCTGCCTAACCCAGCAGACTAGTCAAACTCACCTGCCTGCCCGCCCTGTTTTTTTTTTTTTCCTTTTGTAGGGCCCATGCAAACACGCCAAACCCCACCAGGCGCCAGGTATGCACGGAAGTATGGCAGCCACGGATGACGACAACTTCTCAACTCAATTCTTCGTTGTCACCTTGGCTCCCCTTTCTCCTTTTTCTCCGACTGGCTTCCCGGGATCTTGTTGCAAGACTTCAGACAAGGTAAATCCTCTGGTGTCAGGCTCGAGACAACACATCAATTCCATTTGCTGGGCTCATCGTTAAGTTCCAGTGTATGCGAAGCTTCCGCCTGCAGTGCAGAGTAACCTCGACCACCGGTGTACATGACCTAATCCTGGTTTCCATACCTTGAACATCACAAATGGGCGCGGTGAAGAACATTCTAGAGCCTGCGGGTAAGTTATATCCCTGCTATTTGCAAATCCGCATCATCCGAAGAAGCATACTCATGGTCTCGTCCTGCTGTAGCGATTGTCGCCGCCTTCACCGCAGGAGCACTCATCAATCGGCGCAAGAACGCTAAGCTCCTCGCTACGCCGGACGTCGAGTCACCACTGCTGGAAGCCCCTCCAGTGGACATAAAGCCAAACGATGAGGACTCTGATGAGCGCACAATTCGCAACCGCCGAACTATACAGTCACGGATCCTAGCCAAATTCCCCTTCTTGTTGGAAATATGGTATTGGCTACTCACATATTGGGTGAGACACATCTTGATGCCCAAGGCACACTTCCTGTAATACCATGCATTGCTGACTATGTGGACAGATCTATCAAGGTTTACGGGCTTTTTCCGCTAGAATGATCAGTGGCAATAAGGCTATTTTCGACACCGCCGAGCGTCATGCCCTTTCCATCCTCGCATTCGAGCACTTCCTTCACCTCGATGTCGAGCTATCCGTACAAAGGTATGTGCTTGAGCAGAAGCCATGGCTCATGGGATTCCTGGCACGGGTATACTATTCACACATTGTCCTCGGTGTGATATTTATCGTCTACTGCTATACCTGCATCCAACGAGACAAGTATCAAGCAATCAGGCGTACGCTGGCGTTCGAGAACGTCATTGCCTTCACCATCCTTACCTTGTGGAGGTGCATGCCACCTCGCCTGCTGCCAGAGGAGTACGGCTTCATCGACGTTCTGCACAGCAACGCAGGCGGCTCAGCCTGGACGCAGAACAAATTCCAGCTCACAATTGCAGCGATGCCCTCGCTCCACTTTGGCAACTCGATGTTCATTGCACTCTGCTTGCTAAAGTTCAGTCCGCATTGGTACCTTCGAGCTGTGGCGCCCATCTGGCCCATGCTCATGGGACTTACTATCGTTGCGACAGCCAATCATTTCATCCTAGATGCTGTCGTCGGTGCATGTGTGACGCTCACGGCATTTAGATTTAACGCCGTCATGTTATATCTTCTTCCTGTGGAAAGGGCACTCTTCAGGTTGTTGCGTATAGAGAAACCCTAGGCCGCCAGAGGTGCCTAGCCTGCCGGTATACAGTCTTGGGAACATGGAGTTAGAATATCTATATCGTTATTCCTACTTGAGTCAATATTCTTTGGTGGAGAGTACATAGTCATCGTTAATCAACCTAAACTTGGATCCGTATGTACACAGGCAGATTGTCTGTCTTGTCAACCGTATCGTACAGGCAAACTCAGTTCAAACCTTTCAAGCTGCCCTAGAGCAGATAACACCAGCGAGTAAGCTCCCTCGTGCAGCCTTTTTGATCTATCGCTCAAAGGTGAGCAGATGAGTCAAACTGCCTACACCAAATCCCATCTATCTGAGAAGAAACGAAGTCAACAAGTGCTACATATTTACTAAAAGTGAAAACTAATCATGTATACCGGTGAACAGGCAGAGGATTTGGGAAATATGAAGTAGAAAAGTGATAATTATGTTCACTTTTTTTTTTCTTTTTATGCCTTTCGACGATTGAGGACAACCGGTATGAGAGAGTGTGTCTGTAATTCTTTCCTTTCTTTACTTTCTTAGATTCCAGTCCGCTTCCTTGATATTGATACTCACTTCTGGTGGTGTGCTACGAATAAACTCAGCAGGTGTGGATGATTGTGAAGATCAATAATAGAAGTAGTAAGTAAACATGCGTTGGAAATAAATCCTTCTTTCTGAAGGTCTATGAACAGCCAAGACGTCGTAGTATAGAAGACATCAATAGCATGAATAGAAAGTACATAGCGTTAATGATTATCCAATATTATGTATGGATTAGCTTTTGTTGGGAGTATATTATGCATGTTACTACGGATAGTAATGGCACTATGCTGCGTATTGAACATGTTTGTTTTTGTTTGTAGGTGCTAGTCACTTTTAGCACTATGAACGGTAAGTTGGAGAAATAGACAACTTATGATAGTAGAACATATGGAGACTAAATCAGGGCTCGGTGTGTATTAGATATAGCAGGGAGATTTAGAACTAGTAGAAGTAGGTGCCTGAAGAGTATTGATTGATATGATATTCCTATGTGATACTGTTTACTTCTCGGTGAAAAGGGCTGCCTATCTAACTCCACTCATTTCAAACTTGGGGGAGATCTCTCCTGATCGCGTGAGAGAACAGCTATTCGGAGAAGAAGTGCAGGTCGGAGCAAGGCCGAGGCCGAGACCTGGTAATGCCAGGTGGAGTGGCGCCGTGTCTTCTCTCGGAGAAATTATGGTCCCGTGTCTTTTACCCTTTCCCCCTGGTGCCTTAGGCTAGAGGCCATGCTTAGGTGTTCTTCTTCCGGGGGATTTCGGTACAACCTTCCTCTCCGGGTTTCGTCTACGAGTATCACTTGTTCATTTCTTTGTGTTCTTGCTGGTGCACAGAACCTGCGGCTCCCCGTATATACATACGCTTTGACGACCTGCTGAGCCACAGTAGAAACAAGCCTCCCCAGGTTCTCCAGGTTCGAGGCTCGTTTAGTTGGGGATAGACACGTCCATGAATATGGGGAAGGTTTAATCCTTAGGTAAGATGAATAGACTATCAATTCCTAGTCTATTTAGTTTCTCCTGCTTGTCCCGGAGTCCCCACCGAGCCGGAGACGCATCTCGTGGAAGCAGCTCATCTCATTCGCGGGTAAGCCCAATGAATCGGCCCGAGACGGGGAGAAAGACTCCAATTCTTGTGTGTCAGACGGCGATGTCATGTGAAGCGCGGAAGCCTTGCATTACTACACAGTATCACTCGTCGATGTGCGGTTGCTGTTCACCTGGAAACCCAAATCCGGTCTGACCCTCAGCTGTACGTTGATGGTGGTTCTCCGAGATCGGGTCGCATGCCGCGTCTTGGTGGCAGATGAACCCCGATAGAGGGGTCGCATACCCCAAGTTGCTATGGGCTCGCTACTGTCGCTGAAGAATTGGGATGCATCTTGACCACCCTACTCCGTTAGATAACGGATTCGCTACTCTTGGGAGGGAAGTTGGAAGGTGCTTCAGATCCTGGTTGTCTGGCTTAAGGGGGTCCCAGTGGTTGGTTATGGTATTTATCGAAGGTGGCCAAAGTTCCGGAGTTACCGTGGCACGCCGAGAGAAGTTGGTCGTCCATGGCGAAATCCGTGATCCGTGAGGGGGCGTGGATCGAGGGTGTGTCCCTTGGGTCAGCGTGGCTTTCCATTGTTTCGGGAGAACTAGCTTTCGGACAGGAGAAATTTCTTAAAAAAAAAGTTTGATTCATATGAAGGTGGTCTCTCATTATAGATATGTTGTTTCATCTGGCAATCTCACGGCCATGAAGGCGTGTATATGAAATGCCTTGTGAGGGGAGTGAGGGTCTTGCGTGCGGAGTTAAATAAGCCAGGAAGCCGCACTTGACCAGGGTTCGGGGCCAACTCCGATGCATAAGGCCATAAGCATAGGAAAAGGCCTCACCGGAGCGGTTAATTAGATAACAACATGCATGCCAGCCAGGGGCGGTGAGATCGCCCGATGTTGCTAACTTGCTGGTTGATTCGCCCTCTCAGCCCCAAGGTCATCAGGCAAATTGAAAAAAAAAAATAAAAATAAAAAGTCAACTTTTTATCCGTTTGTCCAGGTGAGGCTTGTGCTGATGAATGTGAAAATAAAAAGGGTAACAAAAATCGACCAAAAAAGCAAAACGAAAAAATTAGTTAAAACCGCAAATAGTCAATTAAAATCCTGTAAAAGTCAGGTTCTTGCCTTCTTTACTTACTGCTGGGCCCCATATTTTTTCTGCGCAGCTCACAGCTGTCAGTGTATGATTCACTCTGCCCACCCCCGGGAATTAAAATATTATTATTGATCGATCGATTATCGCTCAGGCGCAAAGCACTTTCGCTCCCCCGTTATTTTTGTCTTAATCCCCCTTCTCCACTCCCTCCTCTTATCCCCAACCCCTTCTTAATCCCGCTCCTCCCCTCGCTTGCCTAATTTGCGTGGTTTCCTTTCCGTTCTTTTGTCGCTCCGTTGGGTTTCTTTTGGAATTGCATCTGTCATCTTTGGCGTTTGTTCATAGATTGCTGTATTTTACACCATGGCTAGTGTGAAGGACGCAGTCAAGGAATCCTTGGTGGGCACCTCCCAGGAGCCCCAGCCATCGCAGCAGATTAAAAGCAACTTCCTGCGCCATGCACGCAAAGATGAGGAGACGGGAGAGCTCTACATGAGCCAGGAGGACTTCGTCAATGCCATCGCTCCCAAATATGAAGACTACGTGAGTCACCCTGATCCTTGCCGCTCATCCCCCAGATTGTGCTGTATGTGTCATACGATTTGCAAGGGTTCCTGCTTGGCTAATGCATGTCGGTACTTTCCTCACAATAGCACAAAATCAAGCGCGAGCACTATGGCGTTCTGTTCATGGTCGCCGACAGGCGCAGATCCGGCAAAGTCAGCCTTGCCGACTGGACGACTTTCGAGAACCTCCTGGACAAGCCCGACGCGGAATACGAGATCGCTTTTAGATTGTTCGACACGGAAGGAACGGGCACCGTGAAATGGGACACCTTCAAGGAAGTGTGCAACCTGAGCAAGAGCAGCGACAGCATCCCGTTCGATTGGAACTCAGAATGGGCTTCCCTTTACACCGGAAAGACAAAGCACCGACACGACATGACATACCCTCAATTCTCCCAGATGCTTCGCGGTCTGCAGGGAGAACGCATCAGGCAAGCTTTCCACGCTTTTGACAAGGACGGTGATGGCTACATTGAGCCCGAAGACTTCCAGCGCATCATCCTCGAGACCTCGAAGCACAAGCTGTCCGACTACGTTTTGGAAAACCTCCCCAGTCTGTGCAACATCTCCGCCGGTACCAAGATCTCCTATGCCACCGTCCGTGCCTTCCAGAACATTATGCGTGAGATGGATATCATTGATGTTATTGTGCGTGAGGCGGCCCAGCACAGCGACGATGGCAAGATCACGCGCGCGGATTTCCTGAATGCTGCCGCTCGCGTTACCCGGTTCTCTCTTTTCACTCCCATGGAGGCCGACATCCTCTTCCACTTCGCTGGATTGGATGCTCCCTCTGGAAGACTTTCGCAGAAGGATTTCGCCAAGGTCATTGACGCATCGTGGCGTATGCCCCTCGCAATTGCTGGACAAGCTGCGTCGGATAAGGCGCACCAGGTTGCCGAGAAGTCCAAGTCGGTGCTGTACAGCGTGTTGGAGTCCGTCCACCATTTCGCTCTGGGCAGTCTTGCAGGTGCTTTCGGAGCCTTCATGGTGTACCCCATTGATCTTGTGAAGACCCGTATGCAGAACCAGCGCTCAACTCGCGTCGGAGAGAGACTTTACAACAACTCGCTGGATTGCTTCAGGAAAGTGATCCGTAACGAGGGTTTTACCGGCTTGTACTCTGGTGTCGTCCCTCAATTGATCGGCGTCGCCCCCGAGAAGGCTATTAAGCTCACTGTGAACGACCTTGTGCGTGGGCACTTCACCAACAAGGAGAATGGAAAGATCTGGACTGGTCACGAAATCCTGGCCGGTGGTACTGCCGGAGCTTGTCAAGTTGTAAGTTATCCTGACAGCGATTCCACTTCATTGAAGAGGCTCAATACGCTAACTGCAACCCCGTTTTAGATCTTCACCAACCCTCTGGAGATTGTCAAGATTCGTCTCCAAGTCCAGGGTGAGATCGCAAAGTCTGTTGAGGGTGCTCCTCGCCGCTCTGCCCTCTGGATTGTCAAGAACCTGGGTTTGATGGGCCTGTACAAGGGAGCAAGTGCCTGTCTGCTCCGTGATGGTAAGTGATTCGCGCCCCGTTGTTTGGTTGCTAGAACCCTTCTAATTGTTTACCTGCCAGTCCCGTTCTCCGCCATCTACTTCCCTACTTATGCGCACCTGAAGTCCGACTTCTTCGGCGAGTCGCCCACTCACAAGCTCGGCGTCGTGCAATTGCTCACTGCAGGTGCTATTGCTGGTATGCCCGCAGCCTATCTTACTACCCCGTGTGACGTGATCAAGACCCGTCTGCAGGTCGAAGCCCGCAAGGGTGAGATCAAGTACACCGGACTGCGTCACTGCGCGGCCACTGTTTGGAGGGATGAAGGATTCAAGGCTTTCTTCAAGGGAGGCCCGGCTCGTATCATTCGTTCATCCCCACAATTCGGTTTCACACTTGCCGCCTATGAGATCCTGCAGAAGATGCTTCCTATGCCCGGGTCTGAACCGGAAGTTACCCCGGCGGGACAAATCGAACCTGGCGTCGGCCTGCAGACTGCCAAGGCTCCTCTGCCATACCTCAGATCCAGGAACGCCCTCAAGCTGATCCTGGATTTGGATCAAAACATTGGCCGCGTTCCGATCCCCTCGGCGGACCGTTGGCCCAAGTTCCTTCAGCAGTCCAAGCAATAGATAAGCATCTTCATGTTTTCATAGCGACGAATTGGTTTCTCTTTCCTTTTGTTCCTTTTGTTTAAATGGAAATATCTTTTCATGTCATACTACCCAACTCGTTTTCCTTGGTTCTTAGATTTCTGGCTTGGAGCAAAGACTTCCCTGTGACCTCCGTTTCTATGTACTACACAGACGCGATTTGCATTTGCACATGTACCAAAAGCAGTTAGAAGTTTCAGGATGAACAGTTGTGATCCGTTTCATTACAGGCCCGATTTGAGCTGTTCCGGGGCCGCCCTGGTTTGATATATATTCTTGCAGATACTGTCTCATATATTCAAGGTCGGGGGCGCCATTACATGCTGCTGTACCAGCACTGTTGATTTAATCTGAATGTCGTTAGCACATGGTTCACTCAATGTTTGGTCTTTGGAACTCCTATAGACTGTTGTTCAGAGGTTTCTACATCATTCCCATATCCATTCCAGCCAGTTCTACTTCGGTGACTTCTTATTCAAGATTGTCATAGTGTGTTTTCACATTTGAAGAGCTTATAATACAAACTATATATGACCTGTCCAGAATGCCTCCCACAAAAAGTACATGATTTGGGATACATTGAAAGCTATGTGGGTATCAATTGAAGAGTAGGAGAGGGAACAAAGCGTATTTATGCAAAGTAAAATCAGATGATGGCCACGCTCAAGCAAACGAGGACTATATTTGGCCTGTCAGATATTGTCATCTCCTCTTCGCTACTTCCGGGTTGAAAAATTTATGAGGACCATATCCTGAGCAATTTTTGCACCTCCGACAGCAACTACGTATGGGATTTTGCCTAGCGTATATGCACGGCTCATTCTCATCATCCGGGAAATGTAACTCCATAGTAGCCTCGGGTGTAAGTCCGTGTGGCAATGCTGACCATCAATAGACGCACGCTTGTTTAGAAGAAGTTGAGCTTCTTCTTTGACGGGCTATCAGCAGGTAAACCTTTATCCTGAGGTCCCTCTGCAGGTATAACTGGCTCTTTTATGATCGACTTCATAATCGATTGTTTTGGCTCCTCGACCTGCTCTTGCTGAGCTTCCGACGCGGCCGCCTTGCGATGCCATAATGAGTCTTCTGCTTCAATCTCGCGTAGTACTATATCAGTGAAGAACCCCGAGTTAGTAAAAGCAGGATTCCAAAGATGGTAGAACGGTAAATCAAGAGCAAGCAAGCACTGACCTTCCTCCCATTCTCTTTCCTTCGCTTCATCTCCAGTGCCCAACAGTTTCTCCACATCGACCTTCTCCCCATTATTCACCCTCTCTATGACCTCCCGAAGAAGCCTAATCTTGGCATCTGTTGATCGTGTGTACGCCGCATAGTCGTTCTTCAATGCGATCATCCGGATGGCCTGGGATCCGATCAGGATGAAGATGATGATGTAGAAACTAGCGGGGTTCCATTCTTTGGACTTCGGCTTATACGGCTTGGTTTCTTTAGCGCCGCGGTTCCGGATGAATTTGGGAATCATTGATGTCCATAGTGACGTTTGAGCGAATCTGGGTATCGCTTTGGAAGATGTCGACTGTAGACGATACTGTAATTGAGTTGTTGGAATGTGGAAAGCGCCGGCAGGTCGGAGGGCTGGGACCGCTTGGGCCAGATGCCGGAGGGAAAGTCGTGCTGAGCTCATAATGAAAAGGTCCGTCTCGGGGACTGTGTCGAATTGCGACGTCGAGATGCTCTCAAAGCTGCTCACTGGGGTGTCTGTACACTTGCTGTGGGATACAATTATCTGCCGCAGAGTTCGGCCTGAGGCAATCGGAGATTCGGAGCCAGATTGCACTA